TGCGCAGATTGGTCCATAGCCGAGTTTACATTAGCTTGCATGTGCACACAGACCTGAGCTCAATTAAATCAATAAAAAAGAATTGCAAATCAATGACGAATATATATGTTTAGAGTAAAAATCAAAAAATTTATTTTGAATTTATTTGTTTTGCATTATTATTTTATAAAAGGAAAGGAAAGATTTTTGTGTTTGCACAGGCTTATACAAAACTTGGAGACGTTTGTGTGAACTCTAGAACAGGTGAAACCCTCGACCTTCGATCTTTGGCTTGCTTCGCTCATCTGCTCTTAAATTCTCTAAAAGGTCTCCTCGGTTTGCATAAGCCTGTGCAAACACAGTAAACATATTGCTTTTCTTAAGTTGTCATGTCAATGCATCAAGTCAAGAAAAACCCGACATTCTTATAGTTCAGAAAACAAAAGGATTTAACTTAACAACAAGAATTTTTTTAAATCTACTTATCGAAAGAATTGATCCAACGCAAAAATGTTAATTTGCAAACGGCTCATTATTTTTACCATCTTCAGTAATAAGTTTGGAAAAATCACTGCTGTCCAGTAAAAAATGCCAATAATGCGGGCTTCGTTCTACCGGTCCCCTTGTCGTATTATAGTCAAAAGCCAATAAAGTAAGCTAAGCTCTTTATGTAAACATAACCAAGCACCCAAGCATTGCTGGAACACTATCGTAGTTTAGCTGATGACGCCGTGCATGAACGCCAGTTATGTAGAACCTCTTACATTCGTCCATACAAAGAATGAAGTTGACGTCGTCAAATAACAAAATGTTTACACCTATCTATTCGTTTCTAGAAAATGGCAATTTCTAGAAGTACGCTAATCGTGTCACTGCTGCTTTCTATCTATGTGTGGGAAACGTTTGGAGGTAAGCAAAACGGCTTGTTAAGGAAGACCTTTGCACAGCGGTCTTCTCATTCATGCTAGTAAAGGATAAAATTCTGAAATTAACTGATCAAGCCTAAATTTTCATGCTTTAACGCCGTATTACATAGCTATGCTAAACTGAGCGACATCAACTAGTTTAATCAATCACAACAAGAACGTACAAAATAATGATCTAGAACCCAATCTACTAGATATTTGACTCAGCCAAAATTTTTTAGTCACGAGTCGTAACTATTACGATTGTAGTTATCTGCTTTCCCTGAATTCATATATATTTCCAATGTTGACATAATCGAAGCTTAATTTTTAAAATGTTTGATAGGACTGGTTTTTTAAACTTATTTCTCATTTTGAGTTTTGCTTTTTGCCACCTTTCAAGATGGCGTCCTTGCCTCACCTTTACCTAGTAATAAAATAGCTAGGTAAATTAGTAAATCATTGGTGCAATGTAACACACTTAAACTGCACTTAAAACGTGACAGTTCTGTCAAAGCATCATAACGTGCATCTCTACCAAACCAAAAACTTTTCCTAAACAATCAATTATCGATTGTGTCAACTTGGCGCCCTATACACCGTCTTTCCAGCTTTAAATTTATTATTGGATTCGTGATCATTTAGCATGCATAACAACGGTTTCAAACAACAGACGTTTTAAGCAATCTTCGCATATGGATAATCTCTTAAGTAATGATGTTACTGAAATTATGTTAGACCCAAGTGCAAAGTGAAGTTATTGGAAAAAATGCGCAAATGCACTCATCCTAATAAGGGCAAGAAAAATATTTTCGCTATCCATCAACATGAGCATCCGTTTTTTGATCGTTTATTTTTATTTATCATGCAAGTTGTTTTCTTAACCAATGACAACTCTACTCTCCCAAAGTATGCTACACAACAGCTCCCTTAAGAGAAACTTAGCTAATGTGCTGTACTGTTCACTTATACACCATCGTCAGTTAAAACATGGATGATTGAAGACTTTTATGAGGAGAATTGTTTGATATAGCTATATTCCATAAAAAACTATAAGACATAGCCCTAAATATTTGTTCAACAAGAAGGACACCAGTGACTAACTAGCAATGAAAGGCTTTTATTAACATCGCGTGTCTATTCAAACAATTGTTATTGAGCAAGCAATCAAAGCACGCCCAGCGGAAACAAGGTTCTAAGTTTGAACGCCTTGTAGAGTAGATAAGAGGATAAGGAGAGAAATTTTCCATATTAATCTGTCAACAAATGTTTAAGATAAGACAATGTGATGAATTGAGAGTATAATATGCTTTATTAGAGATTTGTTTATCCATCGAGATATGTCTTTCAAGTACATGTCGGTTATTCAATGTCATATCTTTATATATACGTGCATTTTTACATCATGATTCAAATTTTTTTCATTCTTCAACAGAAAAAAATTCGGTAAAAGGATAACGGGAGACCTTCTGAAGCAAATCGATATTTTAAATTTCAGAACGAGAAGGCTACTGTCAAATCATCATGTATTGTTTATTTCAATTCGTAAACAATAAAAAAATTCCTTTAATTATAAAGTACAAATTGTCGTAATCGAAATTCTTCATTAATTTCACGGAGCACCACAGCTGGCCAAAATGACCATGTGACATTATGATTTTTTTGCAGGCTCAGTCCCAGGGATCGCAAATCAAATGCAACCGATGGACGTGTTGTTTATGATTGACGGCTCAGGAAGCGTGAAACCACGTAATTTTAATCGACTGCGCGCGTTACTTAAAAATCTTATAGACAAAATGAACGTGGACTATGTAACAAACCAAGGCTGTCATGTTGCCTTGATTCAATTCAGCTCACGAAAACTTACCAAAGTTGAGTTCAACTTGGACACATATAATAACAAAAAGACATGAAAAGTGCCATTGACAAGATGATTTACCAAAGAAAATACACCTATACTGGTTATGCTATGGAGCTTGCAAATAAAGAGGTTGAGAATTAAATTGAAATTATGAAATTTTTTCAAGAATTCAATAAAATGCTGCTCCACTGGCCAAAACTTAACTCGCTAAAGCCTGGTTCTCATTAAGTCGCTTGAGTGATCCGAGTCTTTCCTAGTTGTTTCGTTGTTTTTCAAACGACAGGGACGACTCAAGCTATGTATTTCTCATATATTCGTACTAGCTCAGTGGTACTAGCGCTGCCGAGAGACTGCTTAGTTGATTTTTGCGCGATACATTTAAAAATGGCAGTTGCTGTTTATCAAAGACAAGTCTTATGGCTAGTTATTTGCTTCTTTTAATCGTTTTGCGCCATAAAAAGGTCGCTTGCATTTCTCAACGGTCGTTTCGGTCGTCTGGATAGAGCAAAGTTCTATCAAAGCGACCCTAGTCGTTTCAGTCGTGCGAGTGATTTGAGTTCATCCTGGTCGCCTTTGAAATATTCTCATATAGTCGCACGGATCGTCTGTGAAATTTTGGCACTACTGAAATGACTCGGACGACTAAATGAGAACCAGGCTTAACAGATCATGCAACAAGCGATTGCGCTAAATGGCGATGCCAGCTCGATGATCTGGGAGGCTAATATTCCTGTGTGCATGTTATAATCCTCAAAAAACATTTTTCAAAGGCATTAAGCACGATAAAAATGCATATACCAACTGATACTCATTCTTCATCGAGCTTGGGCGCGTTGCTGGTTGCATTTAGCAGTGTCAAAAATTTACTTGACAAATGAAAAGTACTCAAGATGATGTTGTAACGTTGCAATTACCAATAATGTTGTATATTTGCATGGTATTTCCTGCTAACGTTGAAGGTTGTTTAGTTTTCCCTGATGTTATAAATTTTGTGCTTTAATGATACTTAAGTTATACGTTTTGTACCTTTTGCTGTCTCCACAGACTAGGTACTTTATTGTCGACAACTGTTCGTAGTCGACAACTAAAGGTAGTAGAGAAACTGTATTTTGTTTCGGTCGCAGTTTTCCGTCAGTATTCCACAGACGATGTTTTTTGCTTGTCGACTACTTCTAGTTGTTGAATGCAAAAAGTTGTTGACAACAAAATATCTAGTATTTTTACTAGGTATTTTTACTTTTAACTGACGATGTACGTTTTGTAGAGGCTTTTACTGATCTAATAAGGGCCTCCACAGAGTAGGTATATTTAGTTGTCGACAAATTTTCGCAGTCGACAAGCAAAAAACATCGTCTGTGGAATACGTTGTCAACTATTAAACGTGTAAAGTTGTAGTTGTCGACAACAAAGCGGTTTCCCTTTTTTGCAAGGGAAGCCACAGCTGAAAGAAAATGTTGTTTGTCAACTACCTTTAGTTGTCGACTATACGATCAGCTGTCGACAACAAAATACGTAGTCTGTGGAGTGTTGTACTTATCAGTGATGTTTAAATTTTGTATATCATCATGAGTTAGGGATCAAGTCTTCCATAGCTGCATGTCCCCTTTGTCAATGATTGCTTTATCTCTGACGCTCTTCTTTTCCTGAAGGTTTTCAACGGCCGCGGAAGCGATAGACCTTTTGCAAAAAATGTCCTCGTACTTTTTACGGACGGATTTTCCGCTGACCCTGATGCCGTGCAGGCTGCTACAGCTAATATGAAATCCCGTGGCTATCACATGATGTCAGTAGGTTTTGGACCACAACGATTTGTGCAGCGTTTTCGACCGGAACTCGAAGCAATTTCAACCAACATGAAAAAAGATGTGTTTTTGCAAGGTTTTAACGAGGCAGAAGAAATCGCAAACCGTATAGTGGAAGCTTCTCAACCCAAAGGTAAAGTTTATGCTACAAAACCTGCGATCTGTTCAATTTTAAAAGCAACGTATTATTAAGAGATTTATATAAACACGTTTTAAATATCGAATTTTAACACTCCCAGAGAAACAAATTCCCAAGGAAAAAAGTAACAGAATCAAGTAAACTTCTTAATGTGGTGAATTTTTCAAAGAAATTGCCCTGTTAATCACTTAATATTGATGTGTTTTTATCCTTCACTTGTACAGAGGATTGCCCCATCAGTCCATGTCAAAACAACGGGATATGCCAAAATTCTGGTGATACTTTCATCTGTCAATGTCCTGATGAGTATGAAGGCGTTTTTGTGAAAATAAAAAGGTGATTCCAGTCTCATTTTACGTTCTTCAGCGCTGTCAGGTAAAAACTATCCAAAATCGAAAGTTTAGGATGCTCAAAACCACAAGTTAGACATGATGTTTTTTATCTAAGATTTAGAAGTGTTATTAAATTTACGATCGGGGTTTCATGATTCAAAAGCTTATCCTGTATAGCTACATAAAACTCACGAGATAAAAAACCTATCGACAACTTCGATTTCTATGAGTGTTGCCATAAGACAGGTTGCGGAAGCTAAAACGAAGACTATTTTTATCGAGAGCACCAACAACCATACAAACTTCTTTCCACAGAGCCAAATTCTTTCTTCTTATTTAAGTTTCTTTTTCAGAGACAGGCCCGTGCCGGAAGAACCCGTGCCAGAACGATGGAATATGCCAAGAGAATGGGAAGGAGTTCAAATGTGCCTGCGTGGAAAACTTTTACGGCGACACTTGTGAGAAAGAAAAGGTAAACAAAAAATAATCTCTCCCAAAACTTTATCATTAAATAACTCACTGATGTGTGTCCGCCACGTTGAATATAGCTGGTCTTTTCGTTGCAATTTTTTGTATGTACACAGTAACATACCTGTCACTTTGCTTAAAATGTGTCGTATACTTTATTACTTTACAAAATTTCTCCAAAATCTTAAATAAGAAACAATTTTATTGGTATGATATACAAAATAATTTGAAAATACACAAAATCATGCCACTTCATGTGGGGAAAATTAAGCACGTCATCCTTTTATATGGAAATTAAGTACTCATTCCTAGAATCTTCATACACGCCACCAGCAAGGTAAATTCCTCTGAAGTTCTGAAAACAGCTTTTCATTTGAAAACTTTTTTCGATAACTGACTTTCGACTTTATGTACTCCATCGCGAAAGTACGTTTCAAGGGTTTATCTTATCATATGCTTAATACATCAAAGAGAAAAAGAAAATGAAGTAGAAGATTATAATAATTCATTGATAAGATCCAAGCACGAGTTCTGACCAATCATAGCACACATTGAGTCTATGTTATTTATTATTACAGTTGTATGCACGACTAGAAACACCGATATCTTGCTGATCATGGACGACTCTCGCAGTATCAAAAATTCAGAATTCACACAGATGAAGAAATTCATCATCGATTTAGTGTACCGTTTCAACATCTCGCGGGAGCAAACTCGCGTGGCCCTCGTGCAGTTCAGCAGTAAAAAATTCACTAGAGTGGAATTTTATCTCAATCAATATTACGACAAAGAATCGCTTATGAATCGCATAAACAGTTTGAGACAGCGCGATGGCGGTTCAACGTACACGGATCATGCCTTGAGAATGGCAAGAGATCAGGTACGAGAAATTCAACTAAGCAATTGATATATCAGTCAATCCCCTAGTTACAGACATCTCTTGGCACCAAGGCTTACGGGACGTCTGTCTGTATTCAAATGCTAATTGACGTCATTGGCCAGTGGCATGCTACATGCAAAGCATATCTGTTGATTTTATTTTTGCTACACATTTCAGGTATTCAACGGTAAGAACGGCGACAGACCGAATGTACGTGACGTCATTGTTTTGCTGACGGACGGTCAGTCGCATGACAACGACGCTGCGATTGCCGAAGCTAGGTTGCTTAGAGACGATGACGTCAGTATCATTTCGATCGGTGTTGGGCAAGGTGAAGAAAAGGAAAAGTTAATCAAATTTCTCACCTCGCTATCCTTCGGCTCCGACTACGTTTTCAAAGTTAGTTTCGCAAATCTCGAAACAATCATCGATGGCGTGACTACAGCCGCTTGTGAAAACCTTCAAGAAATGTGATGCCTAATGTGGAAACACTGCAGCGAAATAGAATGTTGCCTTAACGTTTTCTTCCAAGACTTAGAAATTATGCTTTATAGTGGTTTTCGCGCTTTTACGTACGCGTAAGCGCAATTTTATCCTTCTAAAAATTTTATTACGGAACATAGAAGGTTGTTAATGTTGTTTACAAAAATACGAATTTTATTCAAGCGAATAAACATCAAAACTGCTTAACTACTATGAATTTGAAATGAAAACAGATTCAAAACATTTCTTGATGTATTGGCCAATATGAATGTAGCATGTGCATGGTCGATAAAGATCGAGGGATAAAATTATTCATGGCATTGAACATTGTTTTATTTCTTATTTCAATTCTGCAACTTCTGCAACTGGGAATCAACACATCTTCTAAAGCCCAGGTCACACTACATAATCAACCCAGGTTCAAATCAACCAAGATTTCTTTCTTGCGTGTAACCCAGATTTAGCCCGAGTTAACTCAACTCATCTAAACAGGGTGGGTTGAATTAAACTCAGGATAAACCAGGGTTAGTAGTGGTTACAAGCAACAAAAATTAATCTTGGTTAATTTGAACCTGGGTTGATTACGTCGTGTCAACTGGGCTTAACAGCAAAATCTGCACAATAATTCGCTCGTAGGATTACGGGACATTTGAAATTCTAACAATTGACTAATGTCTATTCTCGCGATTTAAAAAAGATTTCTAGCTATATAGGCAGGGCTGAAAAATGTCCGGCAGCGACAGCTGCTCTTCTGCCAGGAAACTTTTCACAAATTACTCCTATGAAGTATTATTGTCTTCGGAGGAAAATTTTTGCGGGATATTTAGCAGGAAATTTCTATTATCAACATTTCTATTGAAAAGTGAAATACTTTATCCAAGCCTTCATATGCATTTGGTTAGCTATAATAGTTTCTTCAGAAAGACCAGACCAGAAATAGTCAGCCATGTTGTTAAACGATAAATAACTCTTAATATGCAAAATAACAACAATTTATAAATTTGAACACGCACATGCCCAACGTTCATAGCTATGCTTCTCTACATTCATATACTTTCATCAATTTAGGTTCGTCCATTTTTTGCGCTTAAGCTTCAAAAACGACGTCTGCGCTTGATATTCAAGTTTGGCCAATTCAGCGACCGAGGGTTCTAATTCAAGCACGTGATTTTCGAAGACGCAACCTGCATTAATCATGAATTATAGAAAGGAATTACTACATGATCAGTCTCATTTTTCTGGGGGAGAGCAATCACTTAACATAAGCACATACAAGGAGAAAGGGAGGAAGAGGAGAATGGTGCACAAAGTGCACCTCCTTAGAAGTATTCGTTAGAAGTATTCCCATAGTATTCCATAGTATTTCCATAGAAGTAGTCGTGTTTTAAAAAATACTACCACGTCCATATTGGACAATTTTTACGGGTGGATCTTAATGATTTGACTAACGAAAACCTAATTTACGTCATCACAAACTTCACTCGAAAAGCACGAAGGACAATAAAACACTTCAAGCTAAGTGCTCGAAAATGGGGTAGAATTAAGACTTCAAAATGTGAGTTAATGCGACTCGCAAAAGAGTATAAATGATAGCCGTGTATGTACTAACCAGATTTATTTCGTTTAGCGCCATAAACAACTTTACCATCGAACTCGTTCTGAGCTATCACCATATCGGGACCACATTTTGGTATTGTTACATCAAGATGTTCTTCAACGTCGGACAAATACTAGAGAATATTTATAAGATGAAGTATATTAACGCTTTTGAAAATAACTACGGTAAGATATTTCAGTGGATTTTCCCTTTAACATGGGAAGTATGCAGCCTATAATATAATTTCAGACACGCGACTAAAGCGAATAAGTTCCAGTACACAAAAGCACATGCAAACTTGGTACAATAATCGAGAGAAAAATGGTGACGGCAGCGACCAACTGCATGTGCTAGTAGCGATTATGGAGAATTAGCTCGCCCAGTCACAAATTTTCAGATAAATCATCTGAGCATGCGCAATCTGCTTAAGGATGCGCAGTCGACCTGACCAGCTACCCAAGCTAATGGTCATGGCAACGACCAACTGCATTAATAGAGACATCATCTGCGCATGCACTCGAGCAAGCGAAGTCCACTCAACTAATTGTTCATAGTCACGGAAACGACTAATTATTTATGTACTTGCTCCACACTTGTGGCAATTAGCTCAATTAGTCGCAAATTATCAAAGAAATCATCTGAGTATGCGAGGTAATGATGTCAATTACACCACAACTTTCGTGAGCCTTTGAATTTATGTATATATATACCAAGCAAATACTTCATATAGTAGATGTCAAGTAGCAGAGGAAGCTGGGTGCAATTTGGTATGCAGTGGCTTAGGGGCCCTGACTTCTAGTGCCTTACGCTTAAGAGGGTATGGATTCTTTCACAACACAGAACGATTTGATGATGCGTACTATCTTGCTTCATCGAATATTACTGTTGAAAATTATTCACTTTAAAGGATATCCGTGGTTCAAAACGCAGACATTAGTTACCTGTAGCTCTTCGTACCAGATTGCACAACCGCCCCGTTCCACGAGGTTGGCATTGTTGCAGTTCTTACCACGGCTAGGACATTTATGATACCAGACCTTAAAGGGAGAAAAGTTTTGAAAAATGACAAAGAATATGAACGACTTGCTGAAGAAATAAGTCGTGCAAATAATGATAAAAAGATTATGTTAAACCAAAATTGACAAAATGAAGGACAAGATGCTGATTGACTAATCATTTCATTCAAAAAATATTTGAATCTCTAATTTCATTCCGATTAAAGATGTGATCTTATCGAATTGCCATTTAAAAGAATTTGTAAAAAAAGCCCATCGTTCCATAATTTCTTCAACGATGGTGGCTAAATGAATGACAATCGAGGAAATGTTGCCTACCTTCTCATGCACATCAGATATAAGGGAAATAGCCAAGCCCATCCTGCAAAACAACAGAAACATACCTGCATACCTCGAACGACAATCTTCAATTTATGTAGAGCTACTATCATTTTACAGTCCCAATCATAAATAATCAAACACTACTATTCAGAAGTGTATTGATCAATAGTCGAGAAACAACCGTGTAACCGAAAAAGTACTCTGTCCAGAGATTTACATGTATACGAAGAATGGGAAAGACATTCATTGCTCCAATAGTTCGAGCACTTCACCGAATTTCAACCGTGATTTGTAACGTTACATTTAATTCTTTTACACCGTTGCTAACCAAAACGATCATTGCAATACAAAACCATGGCAACTAGAGTTTGACACCAAAATCTTATGGGCGAAGAATTGACTGGATATGTAAAAGTAGTCAACGTTTTTGTTTAAATTAAGTGATCATAAATGACGATAAAGGGTCATTGCTTTTTGTAAACGAAAATCTTAGTCATTGAAAGAACTATATACTTTTCTTCTTACCTATCTGCACGTCCAACACGACCAATTCTGTGTATGTAGTTTTGTTTATCATCCGGGAATGTCACGTTCACGACTGAAACAAAAAACGCCTGATCAATTCTCGATGAAAACAAAGTCTGAAACTTTACCGGTTTAAAACAATAAACAATCCGTTTCATAATTTAATCTAAACGTTTCGATAATTGCTACATGTCATCATCAGTAGAAAATATGATGACATGCAACGTTTAGATTAAATAGTGCTTACTTTATACGGAGTGTCTATTGTATTGTGTTTTACTAAATTACTCTTTGGTAGTCGTAATTTTTTATCGTCTTGGACAGAGGCGTAACAAGAACGTTAATTGGGTGGGGGAGAGGTGGTGCATTTTCATTAATTCCGTTGTGCCCAACTGATTTCTGTTGAAAATGAATTTAAATTCAAAAGAAGTCAGTAGGGCACAACTGAATATATGAAAATACACCTTCCCCCACCCCACCCCCACCCCATTAACATTCTAGTGGCGCCTTAGGGCTTGGAACTGAAACTATTCAATGTTTTCATAATGGAAGCTGTACCCTATATGTGCATACTCTCAAACGTGGGATTTGCTGAAAACAGAGAATAAAGAATACAAGATAGAGTAAACCTACCGAACGGAATGCCTCGAACATCTATACCTCTTGCAGCCACATCCGTACAGATGAGAAATCTAACTTCACCTTCCTATGAAGACGAGAATACCAACATAAAAAATGGATAAAAATATCAGAGAGCAATGATTGCACTTAAGATGGCCTTTAAACAGAAAACTTAAATCAGTCGTTAGCTGTAAGCCATCAAGTTAAATGTCAAAATTCAGCAAACTTTAACTTCTAAGTTTTGCTAAGGGTTTTGACAAATACATGTGACCATCAGGCTTTATGAGAACCTTGAATTTTTTAAGATTTTCTCGGCGTTCTTGAACAGATCTGTCACTATGAAGACAGACACACGAAAACTCGTTGACCATTGCACGTGCACCTAAATACAACGATACTCGAAATGAGTTTCCCGTTTTGAGAACAAAAGCATAATGTTGAAAATTTAGCTCTTTCCGTGTTTTGGTCTGAAATGTGGAGGGCGGGCTGATCTATCCATGCATAAGAGAGCAAGAATTTATGAGCGGCAATAAACCATTCTCACATAATACTATGACTAATGGATTAATTTATGATCGTTACTAAAGAAGAGATGGAGTATAAAAGGACTCAAATTTGAACGGCAGATACCTCCCAATGAAGACAATAAACTCGAGTATTTATAAACAGTGACATAGTCAGACAGAAAGTTTGGTCGTGCAATGGAAATTTCATATCATTAGCACTATTTATTTTATTAGAAACCGTTTGCTTTTGCTTGGGCGAGCAAAAACGGAAATATTTACAAAGAACAAAAAAACATGACGGATGGCTACACCATAATGTATAAGGACTCGAGTTCCTTATCAGATCACTTCCAATGAAACACTAAAACAGAGAATATAAAGACTCAACTTATAACATTAGATCCCTCTTATGAGGATACTTGACTGAAGAATATAAGAACTTGACTGGAGACTTAGTCTTGGTGAAGACATTAGCTTGGTGCACATGAAGACTACAGTTTGAACAACATTCGATTCAAAATACAATACTTAAAGCTCCTATTGCTCTTCATTGCTTATCTATTATATAAGTTCTGCTGTTAACACGGGGGCATCGACCAATCAGAGCACGCCTTTTGCACATGTTTATTTACAATGCAGTTTCATTGTCTGAGAGTGTTCTCTTTTTAAAAATATTTGACTTTCAAAGCTCACCTCCTCCGATTGTCAATAGATAGTTTTCAATGTTATCACAATCTAATTTTGTTCTGCAGAATATAATGGCTTGATCCATTTTATGTTCTTTGATCGCCTTCACCAGATACTCGGCCTTAAGCATCTTTGTCGCCTCGGAGAAAAGTTCTACAGAAAAAAAAAGGAAAAAGGTTGTACATCGCGAAGGTGGCAAGTCAAGGTTGAAAAATATTCAAGTTGTGTATTAAATAAATAATTATCAATATTACAACATTATTTAATTTAACTAATTATACACACGAAGCTTTTCAACAAGTTTGCAAAAGCTCAAAGATGGAGCAGTCTTCATCAAACAATAATTTTGTCGAAAATATTCCGTTCAAAACATCGATAACCCAATGACTTATCCTTACCAAACAATCCAAACGTGAACACACCCAGTTTTAATGTTTAAACACAAGGTTTTTGCGAAACAAGATTAAGATACACACTAGCATTGTTCTGAAAAATTCTTACCTGGAGATGTGTGAGAAGGATTTAATTTATCTCTGCTGTGAATTCCGTCGGTCTAAAGATAAAAATTAAAAAAGCATTGAACGTACTTATCAGTGATACAAAACAATCAACTTGACTTTACCTTGACTTTTTGCCTCAAGCCTTTCCAAGTATAATCTTTTCTAGGGTTGACATGACAAACCTGTAAATTAAAACTGATAGATAATGACGCCTGCATGCATCCTTCAACAGGATATATTTGCGTAAGGATAATGTATAATCAGTCTTTAATTTAAACAGTCCTGTTTGGAAGCTTCGAAGGCTATTTCCCCACGAATAGAGTGCCCTTTAAATGTGGATAGGTTCTGGCTTTTCACTTCAATTTATTTCCTTAAAACAAACTTTCTAATGTTTAATCACAGCTCTTACCACGTGATGCACAGTCTCAGGAACACTATCGCGACCTTTCAAATCAACCCAAGTCGGAAAATGCATTATTTTCTCCTGAGGATGAAAATCGCACGATGTGACGTTATTGAAAATTGTAATTCAAGGAAGGTGTTCACATAATTTAAAATATGGGATTTACCGCGAGCTTTTTGACTTCAAAAGAATGTAAGGTAGCGGAGCACACGATCATCTAGTAAAACAACACTCGCAGTTAATGTAAGCATAGAATTATTTTTGAATCAATAGAGTAACAAGTCATACGCTCATTCTTTACTTAACTTACATTTGACTAATTTAATTAATTTACATTACAATTAATGTATGTTAAGCAGTCTTCACGTAGATACCAAAGTAACATGCTGTAGCAACACTGACCTGCAAACGTTTCCCATCGGACGAAAACTTTGGTATTTTGTTGTAAATTCGCATGATAAGATCGCGGTTTCCCATACTTAGTAAACCATCCTGCGTTACGTTGAAATATAGTTAGCCAATCATAATCATCCATGTCAAGTCGGAATACTAAAGTGAATAGGAAAACATCGTTGTCAACTTACCGCCTCGTCAAGAATGAAAAACCGAACCTATAAAAAAATCGATGCAACAATAACGCAATTAGTCATGATGATATAAAAATTACATCTATTATTTAATTTCTTTGTCTAAAAAGAGACAGGAGATGGAGAGTATCTCGATTGCAGAAACAGACTATTTTTCAGACAATTGAGCAGCAGTTTCTTTATTAGCTAAGATAGCTGAATGGAAAACGTTCATACGAGAGGCGGAGAACAAAACCATTTCATTTTCGGTAAGGTTTCAGATTTCATACTTCTCTTCAATTTTCATAACTGGACACAATATATTATTATTTACCTGATCAAGGGACATTTTACCAGTTGAAACAAAATCATCAAATTTTCCTGGCGTTCCTGTGACAACATCAACCTAATACAAAAGAAAAGTGACTGTTCAAAGTCCTAGAATATAAACATAGATGCACGCTCTCCCCCGTAAAAGGGAACATATGTGTCAACAAAGCACTAAATTTTCAAAAAATAGAAGCCATAAATACCCCGTCTTGCAGCAGTCTGATTTGATTTTTCACACTTTCACCACCGATTAAAACAACCTCTCTAAAAGACGGGATATTTTTTGTGCACCACATCAACGACATTAAAGGGTCGCATTTTACAATTTATACTCAACAATCTTATTACACATACATCCTGGAAGGTGAAATGCAAAGTTACTGGGATTTAAAACAACAAAACCACTTTTGGAATCGCTTACTTTACATTTGGCGACGGCAGATACTTCTTAAACTGTGATATGTTATTGTGGGTCTAAAATTGAAACACTAAATGTTCTAAATGTTAGAAAAATGAATAAAAATTAAAACGATCAGAAAAATGAATCCTTTAATTTGATTGGTCAAAGACGAATTCACTGCGTTCGTCTGAATATAAAAAGTCGATAAGGCAGTCTTGTCGTTATACTCACGAGCTCTGTTAAATACAGCTTTACCAAACAGTCCTTACATATAATCACAAATAATATACTAACAGACGGCGATATTCACACAAAATATTTTCTCTTTCTATTCTTTCTGATCATATAAATATGAACAATCCATCAAAGGAAATTACCTGTTGTGCCAATTCACGAGAGGGCTAAAATAATGAAAATAAATGTCAGAAGCGACGTTGAGAAAATGACAGAGAATAAAGATCATGATATTGAGGCACAAGGATGCAAATCGATCTCTTTCGAAAAATGATAAGTTTTTCTAAAATACAATTAAACATGCAGTTAAAGCGGAACGTTAACGAAAAAATGCTTTCCTATTTATCAAAAAAAAATCCAAACTTTAACATGTAAAAATATTCGCAGGAATCGACTTTTCGATCGACTTCTTTTGAAATTCAATACTTCGTGTGGTTTTGCTGCAAACATACAGAGAATTGTACGATCTACAGTTTTTTACTCGAGGTTCTACAGTTTTCCACATGATAATCTACAGTTGTCTAATCTATAATCAGCATGTTCTGAACGATAATATACTGTTTTCGAAATAGAGGACAGTTTATACCAATCAATAATCTACAGTTTTTTCAGGTTACAAAGAGTTTGAAATACATCATTTACCTCGAGAATAATTGCCGATGGTGAACACTTGTTTGTGAACTTCCCCGGTGTACGAGAAATGGTCCCCGTAGTAGAAGACGTCACACATTGCGGTCTTGCTGAATAGAGTCCAATGTAGCCGCCCTAGAAATTTTAATGATAATCTGATTCATAGCGTTGTGGATTTCATCGAAATCATCGAATAGTCAAAACATTTCGTTGAAAAAATTCAGGGAAAGAATGCCTCGTTAAATATCGTCATAACTGCATGATGAACCTTTTATCGCAAACTTTTTGATCAGTTTATACACTTTACCTTGGGTGGAAATTTGAAAGGTGTTGCACCAAAATTAAATTGTAGTTCTGCGTTCTATGCAATGGAAAAGAAACGATTAATACGGGATCATATGGTATGGGTTGGGCAGTAAAAGTACGTACCTACCTTTAAAACCACAGCAGCATAAAATGGAATTCCATCTAGCTGTACAGGAATGTCATATGCCTCCCCAAAATCAACACCTCGAATACCAAAATGAAAAATATTATTAGTAATTACAGCAACTCCTGAAGTCGAGTGAAAAATTAAATTCGGACGTTAAATGACAACCAGTAGCTAACAGGTGTACATAATTATCGAATGTTTTAAGTTTTTCAATGCCAGATCATCCCTGATTATGTCATTGCACTGGAGGACATAAGGCCTAACATCAAATCTTTTCTGATGAAGACAATAGACTAGAGTAGCTATGTAAAGAATCAGACTTCGACATTATCACACTTCAGAAGACGACAGTAGAATGCAGTATAAAAGAACTCGAGTCACAAAATCAGTTCATTCCCAACAAAGAAAGTAGACAGAGGTAAGTCGACATTCAGGAACGCTTATCTACTTTTGTTAGTGAATCAACAACCAACGATTACTTCAAGAGAGCAGCTTTAGGGGCTTGAAATTTTAAAGGAAGAGATTGATGCCAATTAATTAAAAAATGCACCAGCGTCTCAAATTTCGTGGGAAGAAGATCTTACAAACAAATAGATCCTCTTCATCTTACGGTTGATCGTTCATCTTATTGTATCCAAACCAGTAAAACTACACCATCCAGCTCCTACGTATAATTTCTTACCATTTTTACTCCATTTCACAGTTCCATCCTCCAGATTGATATAACAACCAATTACATCATGCAATCCAAACGGCTAAAAATCAAATAAACAAGAATAATTTCGGATGTCCACAGTTCACGGAACAAATTTGAAACTGCTTTCGAGAGCAATGATCAGTAGAAAAATACATCCGATCACCAGTCGCATGCATGATCGAAAATACAACGAACTAACGTATAATTACCTCCCCGTACGTGTCGAAATTTCTATTGAATGAGGATTTTCCAGTGCCGCCAAAGCCAAATCCATATCTATCTGTTCCTAAATTTTGCAAACAAAAACAGAAAGTTGGCCTACTGTGGTATTTTCTGTTTGAACGTCAATGAATCTCGAAAAGAGGAGCTTTCACTTTTTCATGATTGTGCTAAGAATATTATTGTATTTAAAATGAATAGAGACGATCTTAATGTAAAGAAACCTAAGTCTGTCAATAAAATAAAAGCTTGCAGACTTGTAGCTACGAAGATGTATGGATGAAATATTCGAAATTTGTTAACTATTTTGTAAACGTGATCATAATGTGGTAACCAGAAACAATAGATATCAACTGCAACTTCCGAAATTTCGACTAGAATATAGCATGAGCTCATTTCATTATATCAGAGCAAAATTTTATAATGATCTTCCTCTACGAATTTGCAAAACTAAAAACTTTCTTTTGAACATCCTTTTACAAAATAATTTTTAAACTAAATTTTTATCTTTGTATATCTTTCGTGATTCTATATTTGTCACTTTCTTGTAATACGAAACAAATATTATTGGATGAAGTTGAGCATGATATCAAGAATTATTCAGATCGAGGTCAACGTTATCTGCCGAAGCAAAGCTGAGGCGGATAACATTGACCGAGGTCTGAATAACTCTTGATATCATGCTAAAAACGAATTGTAAAACATTTTCAAACCTTCGCTGATTTTCGCTGAAACAAAACGGTTTTTTTCAAGTCCTTCTCGTTGAAATATGTTTCGTCGCGTTTTTGGTGTTTTCCCCAGCTTTTTGCTCAAAAGCTTTCGCTTGTCGTGTTTAGAAACTGTGGTAAACAACGCTTTTATTTTATTTGTTTCAAAACCAGCTTTTAATGGCGTCAATAATTGTAGAAGCTATCATTTGTAGATATGACGTCATAACTGCGGATATCGAGAATTATCTGCAGGTAGTTGACCAAACACAGCCGAGTTTGCTGTTACATGTTTAGCAGGACTTGCATGTATAACACATTTGGTGTAATTTTACAAATATCTGAACTGACTATCCTGAAAAATATTTGTTTGATAAATTAATAGAAAAGACACAAAAACCTCATTCCATATTGGAAAATGTAGTGTACTAAAAATCGATTGAATTTGAAAAAAATTGAAATCGGCTGAATTGAAATTGCAAAACTCCCCTCAATCATGCAAATCTCTCAAGTAGAATTTTTTCTGAACGACGAATGTTAGGCTATGGAACAGGTACATCAGCACGGTAATGTGTGATCGTATTAAAGTACAATTCGAACTACCCCACAGACGTCCAGTAGTGCCAGCCCAATGAAAAAAGATTAACATTACGAAGTGGAACATGGAGTTTCAAGGGCGAACCTCAGTTAATAAGATGATACTTTGTTAAGAAATCGTGAAATTGCTTTGGTATGAGCTGAAGTGAAATGTTAAAAGTTTTTCGGTGTTAGCAGATAAAATCTTAGTAAAACGAGAACTTTTATTTGCTTGTTGTTCCTTGTCATCCCAGGGCTATCAAAAAGGCCTTCCCTAGCTTACCTATACTATACATAAGAATAGCTAACCCAAGTTTAAAGTAGCGTCCTTTGTAGACCATCCAACACGACACAAGCCTTCGTCCGTTATGGTGACCTCGTAATAAAATTTTCCTAAAATACACAATGAAACAGGAAAGATAAAAAGAAAATACAGAGTTTCAACATGAGATGTCCACCAAGTGCGTTGTGCATAGCTCATTTATCCCTACTTAAGAGGTCGTATAACCCTACTAAGAGCTCATTTATCCCTACTTAAGAAGACTACATAGTTTGAGTATTCTGGTAACTAAACAGTACACACTAATCTCCTAAAACGTGTAACCGTACATCCTGTCTTAAAGGCTTTGCCAACAAAATGGTGATAACCAGGAGGCATATTGTTGTACATATTGTATCGATATTACCCTGTAAATGTAACGATACTACAGTGGTGAAAATCAATGACACATGTTTGCTAAATAATCTATATGCAACACAACTGTTTCCTAATAAAGTGAATGGTTTGAGCCGGAGAGTATCGTTACATGTTTGTAGATGTTGATCACCCAACCCAGAGTGTAGTCCTGAGAAGGAGCGTAGCTGTTGGTTTTTAATGCTTGTATCCAGATTATTACATAGTAGACATTGTATGGCACTTCTTCACGAGACCTTTTTAAAACGCACCTTTGATGACAGCAAGAGATGACCTTCCCCCTTGCCAAACTGCCTGGTCTCTACTTTGACAAAGTAAGCCATCTTGACTTATTGCTGGTAGAGATAAATATAATAACATAAATCACTTCTACGAAGATTTCATTTCAGAAAAACCCAGAAGCATGAGCCTACGTTTTCATACAAGTGTAACAAATCATGATGGCAATATAGACTCAATTTAAAAAAGGGTTACAAAGATTAGCTAAATATTAAAAAGCCCTGAATTACCAAGCAGATGTCTTAACCGAGATCGGACAGAGGTCTGTGTATACAGATCAAACCTGAAGGGAGAGGTTTATACTAAAGACAGCGGACTTTAATTTCTCGGTGGAGACTGATCAAGCAACGCGAATAAAAAGTTTATTATAAGCATGTTGTTGTTTTTAGAAATTTTTGCATCTTAGAAACGTGGTACACACAATAAAATTCACTTTCCGAGTGCTTTTTCTCTGACTCACATTCGTACATTGTGTTTTATTTCGGCTTTTTCTCTGACTCACATTCGTACATTGTGTTTTATTTCGGTTTTTTCTCTGCCTCACATTCGTACATTGTGTTTTATTTCGGTTTTGGCCTTTAGTAAAACTTTTTCTGTTTGCTCTACGAAACTCGTATACTTTTTTCGTTAAAAATACATTAAATAGCACGCCGGCTATTAAAGGAAATTCATGGCCGCCAAAAATGTTTCTAAGCCTATCAAAGCGTGCGATTTAACCGGAAGTTACGCTTGTCATTTTTACTGAATTTCTCATAATGACCGCCGGTGCAAAGTGATTTACGAAAAAGAAGACGACTTTGTGATTAAAATAAAGAGCAACGCTAAAAGCAAAATATAAAAAACTTGTAGGAATACAAGTCGAAAAAAGAACATTCCGAAAGTAAGTTTTGTTATGTAAACCACGCTTATATTATGTAAGCATTAAAAAAATAAGTCGCGTGCCCTGTTTATTTGAAATACAATTGTCCAATGCCAAGTAAAACGTTTTATTGATCTCGCTTGCTCGGTTGGTTAATAAGGGCTTGATCGTTGGACACAAAAGGTCAATAGCCTATATTAAAATATATATTTCAACTTTCAAGTGACATGAATGTTTTTTCTCTTACCAAATGCTGAATCACGATCATAAACACTCATTTTCCAAGATTTGTCTAAATTGAATCAAAAAATTTGTGCTTTTTTTAACAAATACAATTTACCTAAATGGACAACGGATCTTGCTAGTTGCTATGTAACAAGAAACCACTAGACTTGATTTTACAAAAGCATTTGTAATTAAATAGGTTACCCTCGTTTTCTATTAAAACTTTTCCAGATTTTTTTCCAGACAGAGCATCCTGGATAGTTTCATACACAACCTGAATCACAGGCAAACAGAAGGCCTAAAAGAATAAGTTAAAAATCAAATTATGCCACAAAATAACCAGGTTTGCGCATTATGGAGGATGTCAGTTACACTACTAGCCTTTGTAAAATGTATAAAAAGTCGGTCCAGAAATTGATAGTAGTCAAAAAAAGGTAAAACTGTGGGCTTTTCTATCAAATAATGACTCAACAAAAGTTGGCCCCAGAACGGAAGCCTTCAATTATTTGGGGGATGCATCCTTGCAAATGGCTTAAGTATTTCAATAGTAAAAAAGCAAGCATTAACAAACCCCCGTCTTTCCACTTCCTGTCTCTGCAGCCTATAAAAAATTATTAAGCTGACATCATAAATGATGATAAATCAAGTTAGATAAATATATTTTAACATGACTGTATGCTATTATTGATGAAATATTTGGATTTGCATGTATGTTGATCAATCACTTAGAGCACCTAATTAATTATAAAGTTGATTTTTTAAATATTTTTTGCAATAATTATGTTCAATGCTTTGTGAATTATTTTCATTTAATATGTTGACTGACTGATACAATATTTTGATTTAATATGTTTGGCAAAATATATTTAATTATTTGTGAAATATTTTTGAATTACCACATGTAATTAAAGTTGATTAAATACTAGCATAGACCTATAGTCACCAAAACCTAAAAATATCCTTCTTAAATTTATACATGAAAAACTGAAATTCCATAAATAATGAAAGTGCTATCCTCGTTAAGTTTGGTTTCTTCAAACAATGTGCAACATATTTCTCCTTTTGTGTGGTGTTTTATTTTCTTTGCCGGACTGCTACCCGCCTTCATGGAGAAATATACTTTTCCCTCCAGCAAGCATTGCATCAAATATTTTGGTATGTTGTTTTTTTATTGTATGAATGATATATTGTACAAAGTTCCACAAACAAGAACTGTTTATAACAAATATATCAGTTGTAACTACCATCAAAACATCTCCACCACCAAGAATCAAAGGAATTGCTTCAGCTTGAACATCAGTTGGTAAACTAAGCAAACACAGATGCTTGTTGACACACAATATTACAGCATATATATTTTTTCCATAATCCACTCATCCCCTTTCATTACTAATATCAAATATTGTATCTGTCCTTGTTCAAATTTGTCAAAACATTTTATCTGTAGCTCATTTTTGAACGCTTGTCAATTTAAAAGTTAACCTTTTATCAGGCAATGAATAATGGAAAAGCAGACTGAGCAAATTGGCAAAAGGGATGCCAGAGCAACCCTGATCAAAAAAGGAAGATGAGCAGGAAAATTACATCATACTGCCTTTAAAATTCTTTGTTCATTTACAGAACTCTTGGATAGCATTGTCCATTGGCATTTTGATCACATATAATTAGGGATTAGTTTTGAGCTAAAAAATTATCTCAGAAAAAGATGACCAACTCCAAATAAACATCATCTAGGTAAAAACATTGATGGAAATGTTTTTACCCTGAAAAAGAAACACCTGGAGACTACAAATCAGGTATAATCACGATACACTTACTGCCATCCCATTTCCTCAATGGCTTGAAGAATTTCAGGTAAGATTCCAAATTCTAAAATCAAAACAAGATAACAAATTCAATTCAATCTTTGGTATGTGATCATGGACACTTAAAGAGAGTCCTGGTAATCAGACACTTATATACACAAAGTGCATTATGTAGCTAAATATTGTGTGTATTCCTTGCAATGGCAATGCTGTTTTAATTGTTTCCAAAAAAAATAACGTTTTAGGCTTTCAACTTTTCACTCGTAATAAAATCAAGCAAAATCATGATATGAGTTGCATTGTGATTTTGATATAACAACTTAGCACACGTTAAATACAATGCATGAAATTCATGAAGGCAAACATTGAAAAGAAAGTCCTCAATATACGAAAAACATACAAATATTTGTACCTGTAAAATGTCCCGCCATCTTTGATCGTCTTACTATCTCTGATTGGTGGCGCTTCCACCTTTCCACCAATTGAAATATTGAAATGTTGCAATTATTGTTAAGATTTTAACAAACATAACGAATATTAAGCAAAATTTTTAGATCTTGTTTCCACATTTTTAACAGGAAGTAAATGGAGAAATGGATGGATTGATAGTAGAGTATGTAAAAATATTACAAACTAGTTTTCCTATTGTGTTTGTTCTTTATGCGTGTCGCATGAAGCAGATTACTCATTCCTAGAATACTCTTCACAAACCATTAACAGTCGTGATTCATGTTCTTTGAAAACTCTAAACTTTTGGCTTTCAAGAGGCAACTTATCATGGCAGTGCAAAAGTCTGGATTTCATAGCAGTAAATGTGATAAGGCTGAATTCAAGTTCCTGCTGTCACAAGCCAAGAACATAATCTTCCTAACTGGTGCTGGTTGCAGTGCTGAGAGCGGTGTGCCAACATTTCGTGGTGCTGGTGGTTTCTGGCGACGCCATAGGGCTACAGACCTAGCCACACCAGAAGCATTTAGTGCAAACCCATCGTTGGTTTGGGAATTTTACAGCTATCGAAGGGAGGTTGTGTTGAGTAAGAAACCAAACCCTGCACATTACGCCATAGCCAAGTTTGAGGAAGACCTTGCCAGCCAAGGAAGACAGGTTCATGTCATTACCCAAAATATTGATGGCTTTCATCAAAATGCTGGTTCCAAAAATGTTATTGAATTACATGGTGTGATTACATTAATTATTTAATCAAAATCTTTTACCTCTAAATATTTAGTATATAAAGGATTGGAATGAATGAATGTTGATGATAGATTATTGAAGTATAGAGAGTAAACAAGTTGTTCACCATTTGGAATAACTGAGAAAAAGCAGTTTGAATGAGCTGTTCAGATATAAGCATTCAATGGCGCAAAAGTCATTGATGTGTTGGGAACAGAGGCGTAACTAGAATGTTAAATGGGGGGGTGTATATTCATATATTCAGTGTTTTGCCCTTCTGATTTCTTTTGAAATTCCGATCACTTTCAAAAGAAATCTGTAGCAAACAAGGGATATATGAATATGCACCACCACCACCCCTCTCTATTTAACGATCTAGTTACACCTCTGGTTGGGAAGTGTTTTGCAGTCAACTAACTTAAAATTGAAATAAGAAATCAAGGTCCATTTCTTAAAGTAAAAGCTAGTTAATACTCATGTGAATCAACAGAGTTGATCTGGTCCTCCCAGAAGCTGTTGTCAATGACTATCACCTGATTCTTTGGAATGTGTAACAAAGGACCCTTGTAGACACAGGCCTTTGAAAGGGGTAAAGGGGCAACTTTCCCATAGTCCATGGTCTATTGAAAGCCTTAAAATGAAGGAATTAATAATTGAGGGTAAACTTAGCCATAAAAAAGAGAAAATCACCCCACTGGTAGATTTCTTCGTGGGTTCTCAATAATAAAAGTATCTCTACTCCCTGTACCTGTTTTAGGATCATTGTTTAAAACACGTTGTCTGAAGTGTGGTCATATTGAGGATAATAGAAGCAGCCCCATTGTGCCAGCTTTGGCTGGAAGAGGGTATGACTGTATTATAGTAAATTGATGAAGAATATATGGTAAGCAACTGTTTCTGATCAGCCAATCTGAGTTTGTGAAGTTTTTATTTATTAGTGAGCCAGATGAAGATGCTGATGATGCAAAAATACCGACAGAAGAATTACCTGAGTACGAAAGAGTTTATTTTTTAATTATGTATAATGCAAAAAAAATGTATGAAAGTTTCATGAATGTATTAAAGCCACACCATTCTCAGGTGCAGTAAAAGCGAATGCAAATCCCTTGTTCGTCCACACGTTGTTTGGTTTGGTGAGGCTTTGGAAGAAAAAGTGATAAACAAAGCAAATCTTATTTTGCGTTCGTGCGATTTCTGTTTTCTGGTACGTGCTTTATAACCCTTTCAAAAATTGATCAGTAACCCATACAACTACAAATGCAATCCCCAGTCTAATACATTGGTGCATTTCGAGTTTTTGTTTTGCTAAAAAAACTTTTCGTTTGATTTTCAGGTGGGAACATCTTCCGTGGTCTACCCAGCCGCGAGTTTCGCCCCTTTGCTAGCAGCTAGAGGTATTCCCGTGGCCGAATTTAATCTTGAAGAGACTCCAGTTACCGATGACTTCAGGTGGGTAAAACGAGTAAAGTTAACTATGCATTGTAATAACAAGCATGCATTCCTTCAAGTGAAAAAGAATGTAAAGAAGGCATTTTACATTTAAAAATGTTTCCTACCGTTTGCTCGATAATTTTTGATTACAAACCAACAATAATCCAAGTTGATTAGTTTGGCTACTGTGAACCAATTACATGCACCAAAACAGGGATTACTGTGAACCAAAAACAGGGATTGTAGTTTTAAGGTAAATATGGTCTCTGTGGAGACTGGTATTAAGTATTATGGTAAGGTGTGGTCATTTTGGTTTTTTTGACTTTTCAAAGATTCATGTAAAGACAACTTTTCTCTTCCAGTTGAAACTGTAACCGAACTTTTTCCTCTTTATAAAGGTTCCATTTTCATGGTCAGGCTGGCCAAACACTTCCACAAATGTTACAAGAAAAACAGATCACCGATAAAGAGAATCGTTAGCATAAGCAACACAATAAAAGCTGCATGATGAAAACTTATCAAAATATATTTGACTACACTTAAAAACGTATTAATCTCTGTTACATTACTATCGAAATACGAGGATAAAATTTCTTACATCAAGTATTTTCTAAGGTGGCTAAACTTACTTACACATGTTGGAAAATATATTAACTGCGCTTGTTAAAAACGGCAAAATTTACGCCGTGTCGAATGCCATCAGTGGAAATAGGACTTATGCAACAATAGGACATGTAAAAACAATAAATAATCTCTGCTATACTTTGTTCTATAATGATAACCCAAGATCTTAGGTAAACTAGTTAGCAAGCTTTTGTAGAAACGTAATTTACAATGTTTCGTAAATAAACTCGTGCATTTTTGCTTGTATGTTTGTACATTTTCCTGAAAACAAAATTTACTCCTGGGAACAAACTGTTTCCTTTTCATCGAGAAACGTTTTCCGATCCAGAGCTGATTTTTCTCATAATTTCCAGTTTCACTGAATCATCGTTTGCATTCGGCACCACAAAGTTTGGCGTTTTAGCAAGTGTTACTTCGGGATCAATGTAATTACATAATGTTGTAACTTAAGGGCAACTACAAGTGTGTTAAGAACGTCGGTTTAAAAACAGTTGATTGAGACGACAATGTCAACCGATTTCAAGATGAGACATTTCACCTAAACGTTACGAGTTTCATGCTTGTCGACTATAAAATATTATCAAAGTTGACGCCATGTCGAATTCTATTTGTAGTGATGCAACCTTAGACAATCCTACAAATCTACTTTAGAATTCTTATTCGTATTTTTGAATTACGCAGTCTCAATCCAGGATTCATGAACTGTTATTAAAGGTGTTCTTCATCATGCAGTGTAACTCAAACTGCTATTGCTGATCACAACCATTGTATATTCAACATGACGTCATTCCTTGGAGTAGCACTTAACAGGCGATGGATGTTTTAAGTGCGCAAGTGGTTACGTACTTTTGACTGTAACAACAGAACAATCCTGTAAAAACTATTACAATGTTATTAATAACTTGCTTATGATAAGTAAAAACTCTAATATCAAATGTATTTCGTGTGGTTAGTTGCATCGTAAATTACCTGAATGAAACATAATTTAAATATAATAATAATAAATTCACATTTTTATAAGAATACTCTGTTTTTTCCTATCTGTGGATACTAAACCGTGATGTTGTTCTTGCATCGTCCTTAGCACGAGTAAGTCTCTACGTACGATGGAAAATGATTAGGGTCAGCTGCAATTTGTGTGTTCTCTTGTGCTGAAGAATAATAACCGTTGCCAGGAGACATGTATGGATTCATGGAGAGGTACATAGGATCGATCGGGGCTGATGGATAATCACTGGAAATCTGCACAAAAAATTGCAATGGTGAAAAACAATTTCCAAAAATATTTTTCCCAGCAACTACCAACGTGTGCAAAAGAAAAGTACAACAATGCAAACCAACAGACTAGTCATTATACGAAACTTCTAAACGTTTTGCAAGCTTTTTAGACTTTACTTTGGTACCAGCGGTTATCTGGTCAGCAATTTTTTCGTTCTGTACAAATATGGGCATGTCATCAGTCAGTTGAAAGGCTTTGGTGCCTTGATGCACAAGCTTTTATCAAGATTATAAAACTAACATGAACCCAACTACTAAGTAGAGAAAACTCGTTGAACAAGACTTTGTGCAGCTTCATTGAAAAGTTCTTATGGCTTCGGCTAAAGAATAAATAGTTATTTAATAAAACATTAAAACTTTTCTTCCTTGCTTACATGATGATAGCCTTGATTGCCGTAAAAAACAGCTGAATTGTCATAAGCTGCAGGTGACATCAACGGTGGTGTACTTGGCACATTCACGTCTACAGGCATGCCAGGTGACGGATAAGAAAAATTAAAAACGTTGTATGACTGAGATTGGTAGCTCAAGTAACCTGGTGACGTCATGTACATCCTGGGTGAAACCGTGGGTGATGAAGGTACACTGATTATCGCCATTGGTGAATTGGTTGAGTGTGGAACACTTGCCGGTGACGATGAATAGGTTGTTGGTACTGACGGGTATGTAAAAGCAGTTGGTACATGTGGGGGTGTTCGGGGTGAATAGGGAGTACCTAGCCACCCGTTGTGATGTTTATGGTTAGAAATTCCGTTCATGAGCATCAGAGTCATGTCCGACGACGAACATTGAAAGACTTCAATATATCGTTCACCAATATGTTTTTTGTGAAGTGATTCTGATGACTTTTGGGCATGATCTGCTGACTGCATTTCAATAAACGCATCTCCTGTTGGTTTGCCCTGCACCAGAAAGAATGAAAAAGAAGGAATGAGTTAAGACATCCTGATCTATTCGATCGAGTATTAATGAGAAGAATTAGTATTCTTCTATGTAATGAGTCACCTTGTGGTCACAAGGGCGTGTTCTATCATGACCTCACTGTGGACCATTCTATTATTAAAGTAATTTAAAAACAAAGAAAGCCTTCATCACTCACACACGAACAATAATTCCTAATGTAATAGATTTCCAAAGTTTAGTTCAAGAGAATCAGGACTTGGAAAGTTTAAAAGTTTTATATTGAGTGTGAATCAGTCAGTATGTGGACAATGGAAAAGTATTGGGTACAAAATCTCACCTGTAAGTTGTACACCATATGAACACCAGCTGGAACAACACACTTTGCAAACTCCTCCAGGAAATCGAGAATATCCTGTACAGACGCGGAGTATGGCAGACCCCTTAATCGAACGATATTCCTAACATTTGATAGGTACGTGTTATTCTTCAGAAAATTCACAGAGTCGGCAGTGGACGATCTAGAGCCGCGTCGCGTCGTGAACGACAGTAAATTTGCTGGAAGCGAATGTCTCGTAAACACATTGATGATATCTTGCCGAGAGAGTTGGAACAGTTCGACATAGCGTTTGCCTATTGTTTGACGATGTTTTGTCAACGCCACTTTACTGTGCTCGCTGGTTTGAAAAAGTACGAAGGCGTCTCCCGTTGGTCGGCCATCTTGATGGTAAACGAATAAAATTCCCTTCTCTCCATGATACACTGGAGATTCGTCGCCAAAAAAAGAAACCTAATTAAATACAAATGTCGTTAAAGATGACATAGATGGTATAAGATAACTAAGTAGAAATCTTTGAAGAATAGTTCTTGAAATGTTTGCTGGTGATGTTAGCGACTTTGTTTCTAATGCATGGTTGCTGGACATTTTCTGGTGATGTTGAGGACTTGCAGCTGGTGAGTAAGTCACGGAAGTCTAACTGGTGTTAATCATATAAGTGATGATGAAAATTATTCATAGATGCTTATTTATTTAACCCTTCTCCTGGATTGAGTCATAATGTTCAATAACCATGCACGCTGAGTTGTATAGGTGTTATTACGTGGAAGCAAAACTTCCAGTAGAATGGATGTTTTTTCCGCAAATGTAACATGCGGATCCATCGTCCATTTTCTGACATTACTGATGAAAATACCAATAAACAATTCTACACACTTACTATTTCCGAAGCCTTGGTATTATACGGCAACCCTCTCATACGCAGAAAGACTGAGTCACCGTCAGCTATGTTGAGAAAATTACACTGATCTTTTGACATGGCATCAACTTGCACTGTAAAAATAATCAAAAATCAAAAGGGCGTCAACGGAGGAATTCATGATATCATAAAAATTCGAAGAAAAATATCTTACCTTGGTTATCTATTTTAGAATATTCCTGAATGGTCGCTTTGGTTACCTTAAGGAAGAATATTTGTCATCAAAAACTGAAAAGACAATTATTGATTACCGACAGTAAAAACAAGCGAGCGTGGAAACCACCTTACAACAAATCGTGACATTACATGATCTACATCTCAAAGAATTCATTGTAAACAAATAAAAGACATAAATATAGACACTCAGTCGAGAGTTAACAAAAAATGACGAACAGAAGTTTCGCATATTGAATTTTCTCCCGTAAATTTCGGTAGAATAGAAATTTGACATAACTGTTGGCTAAAATTATAAGTGAAATTATGTCAGTAAAGCCATCTTTTCGAAAACTAATGTCATTATTAAGTTCTTAAACATCTTTGATCATAAATACTATCCACGATTAAAGTAAGAATGCAAATAAAGTTTTGTTTACTGTAAAAGATGTCAAAACAAACCATTGTAACACTTGATTGAATTCTTTTCATAAAATTGATTTAGTTTGATAAATTTTCGGCATAGTTATGGAACACAAAGATGCTTTTTGCAAAGGAAAAAGCTAAATTTACTTCGAAAATTTACAAATCTAGCGTAAAAATCAAAATCTCGTGATTTTTAATGCAATCGCTTGGAGTTTGTAGCAACGAGAAAAATAACTTAATGAAACACTGGTGTCGCAATTTGGAATAAACTTCCAAACGAAAGAACGTCCTGTGATGTTGTTATGGTATTTAACAAAATATGCGTGTCCGCGGCGTGCGGTGAACCGTGGACTCAATTATGTAACCATGCCATATAGGGCACGTAAAATAATAGGGCGCGTAAAATATTACGAACATGTGTTTTGAAACAATCATTATGGAAATTTATGGCAACAGTAGTTACAAACGCGTCACACGTTCAATAATTTTTCACATTTTTTCCTTCGTTTTTTCTTCCTTTTGAGTTCGAAGTAACAAAATTAAGCGTCAATGGTCAGATATAAAAAAAATTCAGTATATAACCAAAACATAATATATTAAAGACGCCATGTTGGTATCAAATATGTAAATTTCCGCAATGGAAAACATTAATTTAAGTCAAAACTCTTTGTTGTGAAAGATTTCCTAAATAAATCAATCCTTACTTTTCATGCCTAAGGCAACACTTCAAAAGCATTTAAAACAAATTCTAGATTTCAATCAAGTTCTTTTTTAACTATTCGACAAAACTATGTGCAAAATACTTAAAGGAAATCATTAACTTCATACAGTCGTCTAATAATATGATATTATTAGTCAAAAAATTTGGTTTATTCATTCCTTGCAATATTATTATTCTCTGTATACACTATACGTATTTTTTCATATTTTCATAATCGTTTGATAACTGAAAGCGACTGTCATTTGATATACATTCAATATTGCTTTGGGTGACAAATATAACGCACCACTGAACATGGAACTTTTACCTTTTCATATGCCCCGGGCCATAATACCTCAAAGAAGCTCTATTGACGGGTTCACGTAATAAAGAGGATCTTGGTTCTCTTTACCGGTAACCGGTAGAATAAACCAACGAGTTCTTTTTGAGACGAAGAAATGAAAATAGGCGCTAATTCAGGACTCCCAAACCTTTATTTCAGTTAATTTATAGTCGTTTACAATACTCGTCTATCAATCGATGAAATAGAAGTTTCTTTGTTGATTTATATAATTATCAATGTCTGCTTCTACAGATCTATCTACCCGTGGTGTCTAAGAATGTACTTGACTGTATTTACCTACTAATATCATCCGCTTCTATTTTACAACGATTTATAAAACTTACCTCTGTGGTAGCAACTTCCCAAATGTTAACTATTTGAATAAGCGCATTAATCATTAAAATTTCGCTAACCCAAACAATAGTATTACATCTTATGAAAGCAACAGAGTCATTAGCAAAGTTAGTTGTGTATAAAGCTACAATGGTCACAAGACATCTACGGCCTCTGATTGGTAAAAAGCGCCAACACGTGAAGCTCATTGAATATGCGTAAACACAAAAGAAGTATAAATAGTAGCGATTTCCTTTATTTTAAGGCGAACATCATATGATTGCAAGAAGGCTTACTGTATTGCTATGAATTTCATTGCAATAGCATACACATCTTTAAGTCATGTAGTTAGAGAAAAACAAGACGTTTGTAGGTCGTGATAAGAAACAATTTTTACTGCCAACCAAACAGGATGTTAGCAAAAATATTTGAAAGTCAGTGCTTTACTTTCTCAAAGGATGTTAACTGTTAGAAACGTCGCTTAATTTATGAGCTAAACGAGACTAAAATATACGTTTACGTCTAAAAATTATTTCTATGGGATGCCATACAAACAAACAGGAGCACTAAAATTAATTCTACAACAATCATAATTATATATCTAAGTGATATTACATTGACAACCACACACTCTTTTGGAAAAAAACATTGTATGTCAAGTTTTAGTCATATGTCTATGCATACTTTTTGAGAATAACAATTTATTTGTAACAAGATGACTATCAACCGTTGTATTTGAGGGTTGTATTGTTTAAAACTTGATAATATATTACTATTAAAAGTTATAATCATTACAAGCCAATCAAAGCCCGCCTCCAACATGAAAAGTAATAGCTTTAATCGCCAATTCCGGTTATAAACACAACAAGCTCTCGTGCTCAAACCTCATTATGAAATCTTGCTGCCGAAACAGCTTCTAATCTGCTGCCGCACAAGGGGACAAGTAAAATAATGACGCAAACCTCAATAATCTGGCTGCCAAACTTCATTCCGTTTCTTTTCAAAGCTAGATCTCTCTGACTTCGGTCTGTAAACCGTATAAACGCCTCACCGGAAGGATGACCATTGGAGGCAACACAAATAGAGATTCCACTGCTAGAAAAAGCAAAATAGTGACCGTGTGAATCACATTGACCGTGTCATATGTTCATTTGCAACAGTCATAATGGCGGTTTTACACGGTTAGGCGAAGTGCAAATCAGTGCAAAGTTAACACGAGTCTAGACTGTATTTATGATAAAAAGACAAAACATAATGTACTCTAACTGCGCTATAGCCAATCTGTCGTTAATAAAATCTGATAGTTATTCAAATACACTTAAAAATCATAATGGAAATTAACAAAAATCGAAACTGAGCTCGAGGAAATATGATTTCCAAAATTCTTTGAGAAACGCGATCACTCAAACGAACACTTCAGTTTTTTGATAATGATAAGTCTCTTAGGATTATCAAAATACATCCGTAAATGTGATGAGTTTTCCTGGTGAAGCAACTTTAATGATTTGATTGTAAAAGTGCAATCTTAAATTTTTTAGCTAACTGAAAACATTCACAAGTATATGTTATTAGGGTAGGAATTCTCTTTTTGAATATCGCAGGTTTGTTCATTTTGCTCAATTCGTTCCATTGTGTAAACATCATTACTAGATTAGTCACTAAAATTCAGCGTTACCAAAACCAAAGTTTAATGAAAAAGTCGATGTAACCAATAATCAATTTTCAAAAGCTTACTAAATATATTTTAAGCATATATAATATAATAAATACGTTATTACAGTGGATTAAACAATTTATTATGAGCAAGTTTGAAGGCTTATGAAACATTTGCAACTTATTCATAAATGAGATAAAGCACATCAATTTTTAATTGAAAAGCAAACTAAATCAAATATAACACGGACACCTTTCAACTTAATGCTCAATATGTTATTCTTAATTTTACTATAGTCAGAGCATCGCAGCATGGCTCACAATAAAAAACGCCGAATTCAACAAACGGCTGTCCATGCACATTGGAAAAGGGCGCAGGTCACAATATTTGATCATTTACATCAATCCACAATCGCAAAACAGGTATTGACTAATTATTGAATATGCAAAATCAATATTATCAGTATATAGGCGCTCATAAAATCAGCTGTGCTTTTTCTCACAGTTTTGTATGTGAGCCACGTGCCTAATACTGCCTATTATGTAATTCTAAATATTTTCATGTGAGCTGAAATAACAAGACACGACGATCCTAATTTGATACAGAAATTGTACCCATTTAGGAAATTTTCTGCTATAAATGTAGCATTGTCTATCCTGCAATGGACGGTATATCTTTGGCGGACTTAGCGATACCTTTTAGATGCTAAAGGAAGGCGAGATGAAACAGACTAAAACTAACTTGAGCATCATAAATATAGGGTTTCGTATTTCAATATACTTTGAACCCGGGGAATTTGCTACCTCCAAAGAAATTTGGCGTGTGATTTAGAAACATTAGCCGTGATCTACATTGCATTTGAAGCAACTTTCTAATTTCCTAAGCACATATATAACTAGCTACAAAGAATAGCGTTATTCAAAACTTACCCCGTAGCCAAATTGTAAATGAGTGTGATGATACTAATCCGAAAAAGAGACGACGAAATTGTGAACATGGAAGCGTCGAGTTGCTTCGCACGATTGAAACGTATGCATTCCAAATCACTATTTGCATTCGTAATCAAGGCTGAATATTAAAATCTCGAACATTAGCACGGTAATTGCGACAAACTGTAATAATCATGGGAAAAACAACATACAATTCTAATCGACGATGCATGCGATCAATTGAAGTGGACTAAATATAGATCGCTCCCCAGGACTTCGCGATGTGACAAAATACTTTTTTATAGAGCTTGTAGAAATAATTGCTGTCTTATTACTTTGTTAGACTTTTTAGTTTAACATCACATAACTTTACTGCTTTTATTATTTTTATGTGAAAAGTCAATAGAAGAACAGAATCTAGCATATTAATTTTCTCTTGGAAAAGAAAGCCTTGCATGTAAATGTTGCGGTTCACATTTTTAAAATCTTCATTAAAAATACATAAGAACGATTAGTTTTGCTATAAAACGATGCGGACGAGATTAGAGTTTCTTTGAAAACAAGTACATTGCTTTGTTGAGATCATATATCTCCCATTATGTGACTATGTGACAATCGATGGCTGGAAAACGAGGATTATTCATTATTGTATTTTGCAAACGAAGGCTTTAACTACTCGTTTTAAAATATTAACTAGCTTCTATGATAATAACTTAAAATTTCAAAAAAGCATTATGTCGAGGCCCTGACACAAACAAAAGTTACAAAATGTAATGTCTGAGGTGGAATATTCTGTCACAGAAAAATACTTACAAAATTCATGGCACATAATATATCAACACTTGACAATTTATGGCACATCCTATGTAAATACTACACAATTCATGGCACATACTTGCACTTGCACCATTTGATAATAGATAAATACAAAAAAAACGTCCAAGCGGTCGTTACTTGAAGGCGCGATCGATAAATGAAAGATAAAATGCAAGCGAGTCGTTTACTGTCACTAGTGTATGAAAGTGCATTGTTTTTTGACTGGCACAAGAGATATAATTTCATAATAAAGCTATTTCTAGTTGTCAACAAAGCAGTTTGGGAAAATTATACAAACATATTTACAAAACAATTCCATGGAACTATTTTTGAAAACGAACTTATTTTGCGAGTACTTGACTATATTTAGACCACTGAATAGTATGTATGCTTTTGAAAACCATAAAGTCTATACTTGATTGACAAACGTCACAAATATAATGGACTTCTTTAGAAAAGTAATGTGATATAGGATGAGTTGAGTCCACCTTGACCCTGAATCTTTGGTAGCACAGCCAAAGGCTAAAGAGTTCAGGTAACAGTACACTAATTTATTGAAATAGACGAACAGCTAAATGGTTCTGGTAACACTGCACTTATTCAATGAACTTGGCAGCTTGCGATGAGCGATGACAATAATTGAAAAATTAGAGTATAGTTTGCAAATTACGACAATTTTTACATCGACTACAGATGCACTACAAGCTTTTGACCTGCACGATACTGGCTAAAGTTTATTACGCAGACTTCACGTGTTAATGATGAAAATGAGACCAGACACGTGTAAACACGAGCAGATAAAAATTGATGCAATTCAAATAAAGGATTAACTCGATTAGTTACGACACTTCAAAAACATATTAAGATGATTATGTGACCGCCTAAAATTTGTTCTTCTGCATCAAACACATATGTTCTGATTAGTGTCTATCATACACCTGGCTTTGTCATTGCAACGCAAATGATCTCAACCTTGGTGTTAATGTATACTCGTTCCTAGTCTTTCAGACGCAAACAACCTGCTTAACAAATTCTTTCGACTTACTTTTTCATTTGAAAACAAGACTGTCGTAAAATTACTAACGGCATTTCAATGTTTTGATGGTCGAAAGAACAAATGCTTGGGAAAAAGTGAACCCCCAGTAAGAAATTTATAGAGAACAGCCTCTCTCTTTCTATGTATATTATTACAATCCGTGCATACATACGTAAGAGCATCGAAAGCTAATTGAAATTACTTGAAGTCAAAGCAAAATGAATTTCAACGACGTGTTTATGTAACAATGATTTATTTTTGAAAAAGTTTAACGATTATTTATTCCGTTGGCCAGTGCAACAGCTGAATCGAAAGTAGTCGCAAACGCAAGATCACACATCATTTGGCGCCCCACTGTTTTTGAAACTTTTCACAACATCACGCACATTCACAAATATAACTGATCGTATAAACCGATCAAAAACTGCATGGCAGTTCTGGTATATATACAGCTTGCCAAACAAAAACGAAATTTCTAAGGTTCATGAAAAAAGTGTATAAATCAAAATTTCTAGCAATTGAGTTTCCTTCATTCTCGACAAAATAATCAGATTTTACAGTCATTCAGCCTTGTCTAGCTCATTTTCCTTATAATACTGACCACGATACGAAGAGTATTGCTTAGAGAACCAAAATTGTTCAAAGGCACTCACCTTTCAATATTCAATCCCGCGAATAATTTTGCAAGCTTTTGCTCAGTTGTAAAGGTGGCTAAGCCTTGAACTCGGACAAGAGTATCCTCTTTTAGAGGCGACGAACTAAAAACAACAACAATGATAAAAGGGTGAACAACATATGACTAATGAGCAAGATGGGCATGGAAAAGCCTGCGTCATATAGCTGTATCAAAAAAGTCTAACACCATGTTAAAGTTTGTGCGTTTTTTTTGCAAGGCATAAAGTAGTCAGTCGAGCATTTTTAAATGTCAACTCGCAAAAAATACGGGAATTATTTTAAAATGATGGTGACTAAAACTTTTTCTCGTAAAGCATTCCCTACCTATTAGTTAGAGCGAAGTAGCTACTGAGAAAAAACAACTTAACAACTTTTAAAATAAGAAAGTTTGATTTGTTGCTTCAAGAATGCAATCAAAATTTCATTCCATGCACGTATTCATTTGTTCTTTTCCGCTTCAATAATGGATGGCATTATAATGACAGCATAAAAACATGTGAAAATGAAATTATTTTGAATAGTTTTTTTAGAATGGGTGTATTTTGTCAGATTTTGTTGCCAAGCAGTGGCGTATCCATTTTAATTTTTATGGAAATCCATGGTTTTTTCACCGAGTAAACACAGGAAATTTTGCATTGCGGGCTTGATGCGCCAGTGTTCCTGGCTAAATTTTCAGTGGCGTACGGATGAACATGGTCCAAAGAAATGAAGAATAATTCTTTGAAGTAAACATGACAGACTTAACAGGCAGAACTTGCGGGATTGCTAGTGGCTATTGCATGCACACTCTAAGTCGAAAGCTCAACAATCCACAAATATCTCCTTTTGAAATTAATAATACTTGGAATACTCGTCTTCAAACATGAAAACCAGCAGGGTGGGAAATTCACCAATGCCTTTGCAATAGTGTAACAGATCATGGAAATAGTATATTAAATCGGCTGAATTTCAGCATAGTCAAACGGCATTGTGATGGCGACGGGAATTCGCCGTAGAATACATTCCCATGATGCAATATTTAAAATAAGAAATGCACATGAAAGTCTAAGACATTCACCCTCACTTTTGTGAGTATTCACACAAACTCAGTATATTTTACCATAGCCGAAAAATATGATTACAAAACAGTAGTAAGTCGGTTCTAAATATAAATACATCTAAGTCCGGACATTTTTTTTTATATAAAACCGCCTCCAATGAAAAAAATATTATGCAACAGGCACATGCTTTTCGTGTGCCCAAATAAACATCACTCACTTTGACAGTTGAGAATAATTTGCTTGAATCATTTGTGCCGAACCTGGAAACATAAAAAATTTGGTGGAACAACTGAAGAAGAAAGTGCCCTATATAAACTAACAAATGTAAGAGTTTGAGATAGCATCACGACTGATGCATAGCTCAATCGAAGGACCTTCGATACACTTTCGGGAATCTAAGATGACAAGTGAAAAGTTCAGTAATGAAAGTATTAACTAAAAGAATAAGTACGATCATATTGTATACCAATAACTGCACACATATCGCCATTTCTAACCAAAACTCCATTGTCAGCATTTACTCGCATGTGACAGCAAATAATCACAGAATCTGATTGAAAATGATGCATTTGAGGATATTTTCTCTTCGATCGAGTTCAGAAATTGTTGGAATGCGTGCATTTCATGTAAGCTCTCACAGCAGGATCAGTCAATTGTTTGAACCTGATACATGCACAGAAGATATTTTTTGTATTTAATAAGGTAAGGTATCTTCGTAACAAAAATTGACCAGCATACCTATACTTTGAAACTTTAGAAAACAATACTACTTGTTGTTATATTTATTACTACTTTATAAAATTATCAAGTGCGACTATTTATTATTATAGAGAAAATACAAATTGCGTAACGACGGTATTTTACACCGAATAATTTCATCTTTTGAAAATTTTATGCGAATGATATTCCATTTAACTGAAGGATCTAAAAACCTTGTCGTACTCATTTCATTAACTTAAGTTGTTCCAAATTTGTCGTTGTTGTCATCGGTAGTAAAGAATAATATATCTTATTTACCAATATCATGGAAAACTGGATCGTATTGGCGGCCACGCGGCACTGAAATTGTAAAAATGTGCAATAACCACAAGAATATTTGCAAGAAGCAGCCGTACTGAATTTTCTGTCGATTTCATAATTACTGAATTATGTAATTAACCAAGATAAACGTAATAACAATGATGAAAATTCGAGAGTAAAAATTATATGTGCTGTGAAATTATTAACTTCATAAAATCCACTTGCAAACTCATACGACGTGGTAAACCAGTCCTGCTAAAATGTCCTTCTCGACGACAAGAAGTTACAAAGCTTGAGTTGTTAAAAATTATGCAGGGGCGAAAATGATCCCTACACATTCAATTATGGGTAGCTACCCATTAATTAGCTGATAAAATACGCAGTCCTCTCTAAATTACTAAAAAAATGCCAAGGCTAGCTAAATTTTAAAGCGAATAGGTGTATTTTCATCAAGCAGTATTCATTTAATATATGCCGCACTTGACATACTTCTAAAACAATCATAGACAAAACAAGTTGTGTTGTTAAACAATCAATCCCTAATAACTACACATGTATCAAACACATCTCAGTTTTTTGCAAATTTTCAGCTCAAACAGACACCCAACTGATACAAGCACACACTCTACTAAATTCTTCGACATACGTGGACAAGATCGCTGAATATCTTTGAACAAAACATAAGTGATTGAAAACTAATGTTTAACTTGATAGAATTCCTTTCCTGATTGTCTACCCAACTTACCATGTGGAGCCATCTGTTGCATGATCTTATTTAGAAGATGACAGACTTCAATAACTTCTGGTGTCTGCGATTCCACTGTTAGGCCTAAATCTGTCTCAACGTTAAGTGCATAAGCTAAACCAATGATTATTGTGTTTATTTATATGGAGTAGAAATGGTACGTTGACAAATGAAGTGATCGTGTCAAAATGAATTTCCAACACGCCCATTCAAGTTCAGTATACGAAAACAACACATCATCTAGGGCAACCACGAGCAAGCAGTGGGGAGCTCGAAATATTTAACTTTCATTTCGTAACAAAAGGAACACGAGTAGATACCGTGTATGCTCATTTCGAAGGCTGTAAAGTTTTAGAGAGGTAAAGCAAATTGTTTCTGCATAACAACCAAAGAAAAAGGAATGCTCAAATATGTTCCATGGTTTAATAGCAGCTATATTTGGAACAGTTAACATGCCGAGGAATTGTAGGGGGTCGATATTTACATTGCATTTCGCAAATAGCTAAGTCATTCATTGCCCAAGTAATGTACGACATCATGCAAGAAATTCATCAAATTTCAATGAAAATTCCTACGCCTACATTTTTCATTTACATGTAGCAAGTGAAAAGTTTCGCCCATCGTGTCAGTTGAGATAACAATCAAATCATGAATAGCAAAAAACGAAAAATCGTAGCAAATTCTTAGGAGATTACATGCCCCATTACTTGAGAGATAAAATCTAGTAAATCGAATAACGATAGCTCTTTAAAACCAAAAATTGGTTGCCTTTAAAGTAATTGTTGCAAGATTTAATGAACTTAACCTGGGCTATCAAAAATGAACAGAGATCGCGCTGTGGACACGTTTCAGCAAGCATGCACAGTTGGATTGCATTACTTAAGCAGGTTCTTGGTTTATTACGACTTTAAATTAGGGGAATCTTTGTTTATATAAAATATATACCAAAAATGAATTTTATTTAAATATACTTGGCAGATTGTTAGCAGAAGTGTTTTAAAATATTTTGATTTTGCAATAAAAAAACTCAAAGTAATTGATATCATGCAAAATATGAGCGGCCTGTTAAATAGATTATTAATTCATTTCAGAAGTGATGTATTATTATTATTCAATATCTCCGTGCTTTGAAGTAAAGAATGCTTGTTCACGTTTTTTGTTTTCAAATCAGCTTTAGTGCCTTCTTATTTTGTGTGACATTGATTTATTGACAAAAGGCTGATTTCCATTCAGTGCAAATTGTCGCGCGATCGACTTTTTGCGATCACTTTCATTTGAATTGTGTACAGCAGTGTGAAACTGTTCCGGTTGACAGCTTACAATTGAAAAGAAAGTGATCGGAAAGAGTCGATCGCGATACAAATTTGCACTGAATGGAAATCCACTTTGATCTTCACGTTATGTCTTTCCCAAAACACTTGCGTTCTTTCTTTCCTAAAGCAAGCAATGTCTTTGATTGCTAAGAGATTCACGTTCTCTGTATGACAAGGTTGTTGAGATTTTTACTTAGGTATTCATGTTCTCTGTCTCTTATTAAATATATTTACCTTCTCTGTTAACTAAGATATTCAAGTTTTCTTTTAACTATGGTATTCAAGTTCTCTGCTGACTGAGATGTTCACGTTCCCTCTGTAGGAAGGTTCTCTGTCTATACTAAGGTGTTCATAGCCTGTGTTTATTCTTAGTAAAAATAATTGTCCAACATAAAACTTTTAATCAGGCCAGGGATAAACTATTTTATTAATCGTAATATTTTGTCTTTAATTTAAGACATTATTTCAGACTAAGTATATTCAATAGGAAGTTTGAAAACATACATACTAATTAATGACATATTTACGGAGTATATATGTTTCCAAACTTGCTAGATGATTCACTTAGTCTGATGATGTGTCAAGTTAAAGACGAAACGTTAAGATCAATAAAATATTTCATCCGTGTGTTATTAAAACTTTTATGTAGGGCAATTTTAATTATACCGAGAATTCGTTTTCCACGTGGCAAATCAATAGCTACAAATGAGTCAGATGTTATTTCTTTCCTAACGTTTCTGCTGACTTAGATATTTATATTCATAATATAAGCGAACATGAAAGTCTTCCCAACAGCAAATGAAACTCTTTCCGACAAAAATTATGCAGGATAATCTCAACAAATAGATAGAAAAGGATACGTGTTGCAATTTCAGTTAAATTTTGCACACGTCGTTTTTAGCTTCTGGGTATGTGTTGCGAAACACAGAATCAACGTCGACATACGAATACAACACCTCGGGAATAGATGTTCCTTCTAGATTAGCCTTTGGATGGATGACTTCTCGCAAAGCTAATGGCCCATTCGTCACAACAATCAGTGAAGAGCAATCACCAAGATCAACTTCTAACTGAAAAAAGATAAAGATTTAAGACAAAGGAATATCAAAATTCAATGAAGCAAAACTAGCATTAATAAACGTTGCTCTATGAAATTCAAGTAAACTAAATTAGAAAATGTGAAGCAACGATGAAGAAGACCTGTCGGAAAATATGCCACAAGTGGACTGTGAGGAACTGCTATACTTTTCTTAAATAAAATTTCGTTTATTAAGAAAATGGATGTCTCTTGATATGATAATTATAAAACCGAAAAAATGAATGAGAATTTAGAAAGAAAGCTCGTACTTCGTTGATCAATGATTGTTTGGTAGCTATTGTGTTCAATTGGCAAAATTGAATTTGACAGTGTGCAGACCCCGCACAAAAACTACTTGGCGCTTGAATGCTTTTTTCTCTATGATCTATACTTTACATAATAAGCTTGGTTTAAACAACAATTGATAAAAACGGTGGAATGGGCGACTCATTATTATCTGAAGCCTCTGTTTCTCAGACTCCCTCGTGATTGTGGGAATTATTATAAATAATATATTAATCCTAACGCGGTTTTAATATGCATATGAAAAACATATGACTTGGACGAGATTTGAACTCGCACCTTAGGGATATTAGTCCGCCGCTCTACCTGTTGAGCTACCAAGCCCACAGGGATTAGAACGAGTCAAATCTCTTTTAAGCTGCGTATGGACGAGATATTCTAGAGACTATAGCTGTTTACTGGATGGCCCCGTGTTTCGACTTTATTCCAAAGCCATCATCAGAGAATATATATAATATATTAATCCTAACACGGTTTTAATATGCACATGAAAAACATGTGACTTGGACGAGATTATAAATAAATGTGCTCCAGACTTGGATCGGGTAAGGAATTCTGAAACTCCAAAAATATGTCAGTAAATATGTCAGTTTACCGAGTTAGGCCACCACACCACTAATCACCCACCCAACCACATCAACTTTCCACAGAAAAAATCCCACTGAAATCCAGGAGAAAATATAAATTCATTGAATATACAATATGTGTCGCGTGCAAGGCGAAGAGGAGTAATGCCATATTATCAAAAGACGCACGAGCTCAATTATCCCATGAGGCAAACGACGGATAGTTTAAAATAGAATGACTGTAGTATAATATAATCACAAACATGGATGAGAAATATTTTACAAGATACTTGAAAAGTATATATAAGCATATGCATGATACAAGCAAACGGCTCTTTTTGTATTCAAAAGCCACAAATTACATTATGACAAATGAGCACTTTTTCAGTGAACACGAGAGACGAGAATATGAATACGCAAAAATTTTCAAGTTATAATAACTCGCAAACTAGAAATGGAAAATTTTTTCACTTTTAGCATGCATCAGAAAAAAACATCTCAACAGTGATGTAATCACACATAACGAGCATAAGCTACACGCAAGTCAGTTTCAAAGACATCACTGCCGCTTTAGGCTCATAATTTGACAAGCGTCCGGCAGCCGCGTGTTTCGTCTACAGACAACACCGAAGAATCGTACGCATATTTTCGAAACGATTTCAAACAAAAGCAAAATCCGAAAACGTTGCCGTAAGCATATCTTCGAAACGATTTCAAACAGCAACAAAATCCAAAGTAGCTTGTATATCTACCTGTAGTGAACACGCTTTCTTTCGAACGCAACACGAGGTTCCAAAAAAACAGAGCAGTTTACCTTTAACCGTGTAACCAAGCCTTTAAACGATAGCCGGAAGATTCGCTAGTATAGATTTTAGGGAACGTCAGCAGGAACGCTGAAACTGAATGTTGATTCAAAAGCCTAATACTTAAAGTAAATTCACAACATATAAATCCAACACCACGAAGAAAATGATTCTTCAGCAGCTAAATCAGCACACGTCAACAGTCACAGACAATGGATGTCGTTATGATACACATAATTTCACCTACTGTGATTTAAGGAAACACTTAGCCTTGAATACAGCCGGAAACGAACACGTCATAAATGCACCAACTTGACACACATGTTTAAACGTGTTGAAAAAATTCCCCATTAATGCAGACGAAAGGTGAAAGAAGCTCAATTCTCTTTTCCCTCTAACTTCATATCTGATGATGCAAGAAAAGGTTTCTTTGTAAAGAGTATGGAAGACTAAAGAGTCTTTCAGAGTTCGTAAGATCCCACGGCAAATTGCTCATGTGAAAATCATGAGCAAGTAAACTCTTCTGCCATTTCTTCCTACCAGATTTCTCTTCGTGTCTGAGAATGCAAACTGTCGTAACTGCGTAAAGCACTATTGATATTGCGCATTTAAAAAAAACGACAAATTTTTTTAAAATAGACATGTTTTGACATCTCATGATGCCATCTTATTTCACTTATACTGAACATAGCATCATGAGATGTCGAAACAGGACTATTTTAAAAAAATTGTCGTTTTTATTAAATGCGCAATGTAAATCAATTTTTTGACCTTAGGTCAACGTTTATTACAAGTTCCTCCCATTGTGAACCGGTTTTGTGGTCACACTTCGCAAGTGAAAATAAGACTTTGTGGTTTTCAGTTTCCGAAACGTTTCCGGGCAAAAACCCAAGGAAAATTGCTTTGATTTTCTTGTTCTAAACTTCGCAATTCGAAAGACAATTTTTGGAATTTATCTTTCGCTAGCTTTGGAATCTTTATGCATTTCCAAAACTTGTAAGCTTTTGAAAAATCACTATATACTGACCATAATAAAGAAACAATCTTCGATTAATGAAACAACTGCTTTTTTGTAGTTAGGATGTACAGAAGATAATCAAATAAGTGTAAAGACAATCACAACCTCGTTGTTTGTTCTTTGAACAAGCGAAGTACCTCATTTTGACAATGAGCAGATTAAGCAATCAGTAACTGTCCACAACTATAGCACTTTTTTCTCAGCCTACGGCAAAAATATGAGTTAAATTAAATCCTGCGGAAGAAAAAATAAATAAATAATCCAATGAGCCGTAATCACGCATATTTAGAAGCCCAGAATAGAAAAAGAAATTGAAGCGATATATAAACTTGACCTTCTTTACCAGTCCAATGTTTCGCGCAACCGTGACGATGATTTTCACGAACCACTGAAGAATATAGAACATGCAAATAATCTGGTAAATCTTAAAAAGATGAATATCAGAACTGTCCAAGAATACATATCCAAGTATATTGTTTTAATTTTTTAAAATCAACTTAGACAAAACACTCTACACTTAGAAAACATGAGGAACAGATTAAAGAGAAATCTCTCTTGGTTCAAAACAGCGCGAGCCTCAAATAAACTAAGCAACGTTCGACTTGAAAATTTAGATCACACGAGATACTGTTTAATGTAAAATGGCGTGTATGCGCATCCAAACCCTTTGTCTATCGCAATGAGTTTCAGGAAGTTTTAGATGGTCCACCATGTTTTAGGATGAAATGTCTCAATTATTTGAGCATCTGTGAGGAATTTATATCATTAATACCTAAACTTTGTGATAGCCAGTTGTTTATTTCGAAGGAAAAACATCTTTTATGGCATAATAATAAAAGGCTACAAGTAATCAGTGCAGACCGGTCTGAAAGGAAGATAAAGCATAGAAACGTTCATGTCTCACCATCATAAGTATATTAACTTAAATCCTTATCGTTGCAATAAAGACGAGAGACGCCATTAAATAGGACGGTCGAGAGGAACCAAGGAAATCATCGGAGAAAAGTAGGGCTGGAACCGTGTGGGGAAAGAAGGGCGCCATCTATCGCACACTTGTCGTTGAATAGGGTAAATTTGTGTCTGCGTTTTCATAAAAAATTCTTGCTCAAAGTTTATAGATAATGATTAATTGGCCAAGCTTTGCCCTTTCTCACAAACAAGGGTTATACAAGGCATTTAGCCGGAAGATCTTATATTTATAACCTCCTGCATGAATACATTGAAAACGCGTGTAAGGCCCGGTTCAAACGTCGCATTTTACATGCGCCGAATCAAATGCGAGAATTATGTGCATGTAAAATGCGACGTTTGAATCAATTAAATTCGACGGATTTTAATTTAATGCGACTTTAGTCGCATATTCGACTGAGTTAGTCGAATATTCGACGGAAATTCGATGTTGATTCAAACGTCGCATTTTACATGAGCCGAATTTAATGCATAATTTATTTTAAGATATTTCTAAGCAAAAATCAATTATTTCCGTATCAAAATAAAGTGCACAATCAGCTTAGTAAATGATTTGGCAAAATAAAATTGTGTCTATTAAATGCTAGAAAAGCTTAAAATCTAAAAATATTTTTGCTGTTCTATTATCTGATATGAATATTCTGCCGAATTTTCTGAGTGGGGGTGTTTGTCATCAGGGCGTGTATGTATTGCGCATTGGACATTGAAATATTTTGTGTCTGTGTGTCAACCAAGATGCATTGCGCGTTATTCACAGCCATGTGACAGCCATTTTGTGGGTGGAGAAAATTTAGGATTTTTCTATCGTGATCAATATTGTGATCCATATGCAACTTAGACTAAAGGAAATTGAATTCAGTGTGCTGCAAGCTAAAAAAGTTACGCTTGACACACATTCTGTAATACGCCTTGACAAAAGTTGCTTCCCTTTTAAGGATTGGATAAACAACTTTCAATATTTATTGTACTACAATTTAGACCTTGCATTTTCAGATATATCATCCAAATTGGGAATAAACAATGTCGACATGTCGCTTTAAAGTATTGGATAATAATTAGACTATTCTAAAATTATTAACAACAACTGAAAAGAAACATTAAATCAATGCCGCATTTTGAAAAAAAGAGCAACTTAATTAAGACCGCCACGTTTTTCAGAAGAATGAAGGTATAGCTGTAGAATAAACGTGTGCACGAACCTGCCAATCTGAGAATGCAGAGTTTCTACGACCTTTTCCTGGCGTCACAGTTGCATTTGTGTCATTAAATATTCAAAAATCATTATGTATGCATACGTTGAGATAAAAAGATATCGTAATCGAAATATCTCCTCGAGAAAATGTATGTTGCTTGAACATGCAAAATGGCTTTTTATCTCGCTTTTTGTTTTTGTTGCGCGGATAAGTTTCTATAATTTATTTTTCGGCATCATGCTATGCTGAGAATTTCCTACACTTTTCGTTCAAACTATTATATGTATAAGCATGACTCAAACAAATATAGTACGACAACACATCGAACAAACGAGCTTTACTATATGTTTACACTTTCAAATAGAGGAGGCGGGCAGAGTCATAAAATGAAGTAATTAAAATTACGACTTAATTAGGAAGCAATTTGAGATTAGTCAAACGTAATATGGATTGCACAGCATGTCAGCGTGATGTGTCAACAATGTAATGTCGATGCTAAAGTGAAATAGATAAACATGGCCGCTCGGGCTTTGGAGCGTCGCGAAGTATACAATATGAAAACACCACAAGTGTCTCAAATCATAACAAAATGGGCTGAGTTGGTGCATAACAAAGACGATTTTAGCTACTATAGCTGGTTGTCGAACATTAACTCGAATATTCAGTGAAAAGCATCAATGGCACACAACATATATATAAATGTATATAATGCAAGGAAATATTTTCTATTTAAAATTCATGCAAGTAATGCAACTGATAACATCATACGGTGCTCACATTTGAAATTTTAGCTAAGAAGAAACAATGTTTCAATTGTCGAAGGCAATGTTTATATATTAAGGATAATTTTGCGTTCATTTGTTCAAACACATCAACATTCAAATATAACACATAAATTTATTTCCCTTCACAATACAATTTTTCTTCTCCTAACTGCAACAGTCTTGTTATAAAAAATATTAAAACAAATGATATTGCTCCTTCAAATTTGGTAAAAAATGGTTTCATCTCACAAATATCAGATAGAAAATATAGCTTCGCGCAATTTAAGACTTAATTAATATATTCCCATATCAAAAAAAATATTGAAGCCATATCAACTAACATCGTAGATGGATTGAGAGGATATTGAGTAGTGCAGCAAATCTTGCGTTAACTGTGGGAAATGTAAAAATTTTGCAAGATCAAGGACACTTTGTCAGTACAATGGACAATAAATAATGCATTTTAAATTAAAGTGGATTTGCAATAGCTGTAATATGGTCTAAGTAAACAGATATACAACAACTATTTCAACACAGTTTTTAACAGTTACAACTCCAGGAAACTATTTAAGTTTCAATAGCATAGAAAGAAATTCGGAATGTTTGGTGGTCAACTAAGACTACCCTTTGAACTTTCCTGATGCACGCCAAATAGTATTGAGCATAATCCACATGATGATCACGCACAGTCAACTCCAATCATAAGAGATGTGTTAAAATCAGTACATTGACTTATGTATAGGCTAATGTAGGCATTTTCTTCCAGGCAGGCAAAACAGCCTCTCCCCCCTTCTATGGCAATTTAAAGCTAAATAAAATTTTCTCCTTTCTTTTGCTATTCTCTGACAGATGCGGAATTCTAAGCAAGCGCTTGGTCCTAACTTGTTCTAAAAATCATCTTGATCGAGGATTTGGGTAAGTGTGAACATCAACTATATTTCAGCCGGGTCAATTCACCATATCAGCGTTGACAGAAAACGCTTGGGGGGAGGAGGGACACAAAAGCTCAACTGAGTGTGGGGCTTCAAAAACACTGCATGATTTTTCAAAGACGACATTTTCACTCTACTGATTGCTCGATATGAAATATTAAAGCATAAATCTTGCCAGTAATGGAGAAATGACTTTATCATTGATTACAGAGAGCACTATTTTCAAGATTACAGACTACAGAGAGCATGATTTTCGTGTAGCACTTAGTGTGTTTGTGAGCTTTAGACTACGGGGAATAGACAATGACGTTAATTGTAAATTGTAAAAGACATACAAAATTCATTTAAGTAAATATCTTATGACTTATGACTCATATCTTATGACTAAATGATATCTTGTAATAATCGTGAACCAGCTACATAGGTATTTAACGCAAGCAGTTTCACATTCATTTTGGACACAGTGGTTCTATATATGAAGCAGTTTCCATACAATAATACGACTTGATGTTTGTGAATGAACAGCCATTGAATACACACATATAAATTCCACAACAGACACTTCAGTTATAAAAGATTGCAAGCATGCAAAAACGTTGAATATAAAATGTGAGAAATAATTTATAAGTCAACAATCAGTTGCCCCTTAAGGCAGAAGCTGAATTCGTGATTTCTTGAAATTAATATAAATTTTAAGAATTTGGCTACAATTATAAACAGTAAGCACATAGCCATTTATGTGAATACATGTGTTGAATAAGTGTAGACTAATCTTATCAGCATCTAAAAACATAGCATGCGCTCAATGACATACATGTCGTTGAGACATATTTTAACGCTATAGGCATATGGGTAAATAGCTACGGCTTTACAGCAAAGGAAAACTCCGCTTATAATCTAAATTGACGTTTTCTTATGTGTTAAAATAAATTAATCACAGAGAAAGTATGTGTGAGCAAAAGAAAAAAAATTGAGTGCGTACTTCGCTACAGCCTACAGATATATATCGAGCGAGCAGTTTTGTTCAGGAAACTTGCAGTTGGTAAAATCTGACGCATGGATGAACTTGATTGATAACGGACCCAACTGTGACCGGGCAGTGATGACAGGCGATTTAAAAATGTAAATGATGCAAGGAGCCGATTAAATGAGTGGACAAGGGGGAGAAAGTTTAAAGTACACTCTATTAAAACATCATATGGACGAAGTAAAACATTTTAAAGGTTTTACTTGATAGTAACCAATAATGCAATGGATGTGAAATAACTACATATATTTAAGTGAATTATCGGGGCTATGTGAACGCGTGTTCATTAATGAATATATGTCCAGCGCCAAAAATTGTTTCAGGTGCGCAAAAGCATATATAAATATATATTTATTTATGTAATTTTATGTACTTTAATATATATAATATATATGTAATTTTAAAATAACCCACGGGTCAACAGAAAAAATGCCCGTCGACGTCAATGACCTTGTGCAGAAGATACAGCGTTAGACTGTTTACAATTTGGAGCACAGAAAAACACCCACAGCTCATATTGCAAGATATAAACACATATAATTCAATATTAAATATGAGCTCAATCTCATGTGTTAAATAATTTATATAACACACACACGGTCACGCCTGTTTAAGATCACTTTGTAAGCAAAATAATGGAGGCCATTTAATGTGGGAGCGGACAGTTAAGTTTTATGCAACGCACTCGCGCAAATAAGATGATGCTCAATGGCAAATCACTATATAGACACGCTGCCTGCTAAAGTGGAATCTCAATTATATTTGCGCGCGTCCTTTGCGGTATACAAAGATGTTGTCAGTTCAGCGGAAATGGCCTAGAAGGTCGAATTGCTTCCACCAAACGAACTTTGTTCACAAACGAAAATAGTCCCGCGTTCAATGGTATATCAAGGATGTTCGCCATATAAAAGCAAGCAGCATCGAGTAAATACAAAAGCGCGTCATATCATCGATTTATTCATTCCCTTCTTTGAAAAACAAAGAGCAATAATGCCCGTTTTAATCGCTTTGTTTCGAGTGGAGAAAGTACGCGACCTTACGTAAAAGGTCGCGATGCTTCGAAAGTTTTAAAGCTTCAGTCAGTTTTGTTTACATATGCTAAGTCAGAATGGCATCGACCGAGTTATGTATGATTATAACATTTGCGGGTATACTGCTTTGAAAGTAAAAAAGCCCGCACGGTCGATTTATCTCAGGCTAATATCACTCGAATATCTTATAGCGAATATTTTTTTTTAATTTTACAGGGGAACATCATTGCAGCAGGTTAAAGGACAAAATGATCTCGGCCCACAAAGAAAGTAATTGTCCAGCGACCCTTTGCAGACAAATGGAGAATAGAAGCATTTAACTTCGGGTGTAGGCTGTCGTAAGCACGATGCACCAAAACATCATACATGTAAACATTCACTTTTACCTGATCCAAAAAGGTCTTCAGGGAGATTGCTTCGTCAAAGTCGTTGCCTTCGCTATGCTGCAAATCACCAATCTCGTTGGTTGGGCATGCGCTTGTCGTCCGAATGATTTTCACTCGGCTACTCACAGTCTGCAAGTATCAAATACAACAACATTCGGCTCGATGCAAACACGTAGATATGCATATGCAAAAGATATGCATTGTGCTTATATTGGCACGCAAGAAAAACAGAGCGATAAAGATTCGTGTGATTATATAAGCATGTATTATGTATACACAGCCGATTTGGAAACAATGCGAAATTTATTACCAATGCAAGACATATTGAATTTAGACTCTGCATCGCAACACACGACGAGTCCTAATGGATAAATCAATAAAAAATTAATCTACCTGATTCTCAACATTATCGTGTATGATATACCCGAGCCGAACAAGCGAAGTGTCCGAGACGACATTGTTGTCCTTTAAAGGCTCGCAGGCTAAACATAGAACTTTGTCAGCGTTTTTGAACGGCATCTTGCCAAAAGTCGTGACTTGGTTTGCTCGGTGCTCCTGTCTGAGTGTTATTGCGATGCCCGGAGCAGTTGATGCAGTCCTTAACACACAGACGTAATATGTAGCAACGACAGTCGCCCGAATCGACGAAAACATAAGCTCAGACGCGATGAAATACGAACCTATTTTACTGCGTTCTGATTGGACATCGGTCACCGTAGGGGTTTACCAATGACACGTGGATATAAACTCGCGCAACGAACGGAGTTTTCCTTTGAGGTGGACATACATGCTCGATACGCAAGCCGAGATGAAACAAAATGGCCGCAAATGAGCTGTTTATTTTAGTTTTCTTTTTTTTACTTCGAACTATCAGTGGTGAGGCTAACCACCAAGTTTTGACAAGCTTTGTATATTTACAGAGCTGTCCCGAGAACGTTAATTGGTGGGAAGAGAGTGTCTATTTATATATTCAGTAGTACCCGACTGATTTCTACTGAATGTAAATTATTTTCAAAAGAAATCAGATGGCTGCAACTGAAGATAAAAATTAAACATCCCAAAACGTTCTAGGGAAGGTCCTGTGTACTATAGACATTTATTAGTATTATTTATTAGAATTATTCTTTCCTTTTACATTGAGTGAGAAACGAAATATTTACATTAGCACAACGAAACTTGCGGGTTGGCTACGACAAACGTGACAAGCTTATTAAATACTGAGGTTTTACAAACATTGCTTTGGAGCAGGTTGAACGCCCGCCGTTCATTTGTCGGCGTCTCAAGGTTACTAAATTTTCCTGTTACTTTCGCAGAGATAGAACTCCAGAAAAGTAATACTCATGTATATGCATGCTCTGCTTTATCAGTTGCTATTGAAATCAATTGTAAGTAGGGTTAAACAAAACTATGAATATATAAATACTACCCCCTCCCCCCCAGTTATCACTCTTTTGATGCCACTCTGAGACGCCGTTCATTTGTCGGCGTCTCAAGGTTACTATATTTTTCTGTTACTTTCGCAGAGAGAGAACTCCAGAAAAGTAATACTCATGTATATGCATGCTCTGCTTTATCAGTTGCTATTGAAATCAATTGTAAGTAGGGTTAAACAAAACTATGAATATATAAATACTAACCCCACCAGTTATCACTCTTTTGAGGCTGGCTTTTAAAAGGTGCGAGAACAGCATTTGGATGCATTGTAATGCAAAACAGCCCAACTTGTATCCTTGAAGGCAGAATCCCTCAATGGGACGCTCGACATTGTAAAAAGTCATAGACTGACCATAGTCTGTCATTACTTTTAATTCACAACAACTAATAATTTTATACCCAAAGCAATAATTCCAAAAAAAAAATATTTCAAATGATAATGTTAAAGCTTGTGTTATTACAAACAAAATTCAGAATATATGATTGGTAAAAAAGAAACACATTGATAACTTTTTGTGAGAAGCAAACGACTAGAGTATGACATGACATTCAGTTGCAAAATTACGGCAGCAATTAATGTGAGCTACAAATTTTAATGCTGTTGGCTTGATGACAATGTAAAAACAAAGAAATTGGACCTTGGCCAGGGTAAATATAAAATTATGAGCGAGTAAAATTACTTTCATTGACATTTCTTTTTTACCCTCCATGTTTAATAAATAAAATCATAGAAGTCAAACCATTTCGAACATTTTCTATAAGTGTATGAGATTACACGAGCTTAGTCAAAAAATATTTGTTGACAACGATTATCATTTGTTTGGAATTAACGGTAGGGGGTCACGGGCATTATGTTCCATAACCAATACAATTTTCCATACTTGAATGTTATTTAAACTAAACTGCATTACATAGTCCAACCGGCGCGCTGTTCTTTATCAACTAACGTCGCATGGGCGTATGAAGATCGATAATTGGGGGAGGGGTTTTTATTCATACATATGCATGTCATAATCCGTATGAAACAAAGAAGCTTAATACGGTATATCATGAATTTGAGTCCCCCTCCCAAATAATTGACCTTCCAACGCTCATGATTACTGAAGGGATGTTAATAGCAAGCCATGCAATGTTTACCTCATTTTGACCCAAACGACGCGACGGAATGTATGTTTTTTTCTTCGAGTGTTTAGAAGAGCGGAAATGTTTTAGGAAAAAACGCCAAGGTTAAGCTAAACTTAGTTGGATTTGAAATACGAGAAAGAAAAATGTTTCCGATATGGTAATTGCAATAGAGTGATCAATTTCTGTTATGACAATATTTATCAGTTTGCAGTTTATTTTAGACAATATAAGGAAGGTTTAGTAACGTTTTATTTATACAACACTCAACACTAATTGCACGCACAAAGGTAAACGTCAAATGTGACCTTTAGGAACATAATTGTTGAAGGCAATTGGCCAATTTTACATTTTTAATAACCACGCGCATTAAACTCTCCCTTAGACAGTGCCTATCATCTGTCACTAAACTAAGGTATGACATAACTCAAGTCAGGGGTGAATACGAGATCAGCGCTCACGAAGACAAAAGAACAAAGTGTGGTAAAAGTATTGAGAAATCCAAATGATTGCTAATGGAGACACTACAAGGAAGACTCACATTCTACCACTCAAGGTTCCAACGTCACATCGCTAGGATGAAGACATCACATTGCTATACACAGACTAAACTTCTAACATCATAACGTGCTAGGTCATTCGTGATAAACACCTGATCAATCTTCATGTTTCTATCGTTCCTGATCAAAACACGAGTCTGAATTATAGAGGACCTAGTCACCTAAAGTTTTAAAATGAAACCCCTCCTGATGCAAATATTTGGCAGTAATATAAGAGACTAAAGTTTAAACACTATATCATTGATAATGGTCCAGAATTCGAAATTCTAAAGTATACCTATAAAAATATCAACATCAGGACATTCCTGATGAAGTTCAAGTTTTCACTGGGCTTCAACGGAGTATTAGCTAATTTTGAAAATCTATACGCGTCAATACATTGAACTAATAAGGAAAAATACGTTTATGTAATGGGAATTTTCATTCCCATAAACAGTTGGCGTGAAATCTGATAAAAAAATCATTTTCTCTAATACACGTATAGCTATCGCCCATATTTCACAAATTTCTCTGAAAGATAAATTCAAACTATACGCTCGTCCTCGTAAACATAGTGCAAAATTTCGTTATCCGCGCACGTATGCGCGCAAAGATGAAACAGCAGCGCATAAAACAAATATTTCCAAACAGTACACAGATGCGACGCATTGCCAAACAATAATAGTATACCGACCAGCATATCTACCCGTCAATTAAACAATAGACGCTGTCATTTATAAAACGAAAACAAACACTTGACAAACCTCTCACGGCGTTTGTTTGATGACCAAGGCTTAGTTTGACTGCCTATTCCTTCTCGCTATGATGCTCTTCGAAGTTCTTTTATATTAGTAAATACAAATACGTGTACTTTGGATCAAAATAAGAGGATCATGAATATACTGTCCTGTGTAATGACAGGTAGAGCATACAGTCAATGACTACAGCCACCCTGCAGACTGAGCCGATTATGTTAACAAAGCTGACATGTCTAAAACACTTATCGCTCGCCACGGCCAATCATTTTTCACTCGCTTAACAAATACCTAAGAAAGCATTCTATATAAAGCGATTATGCTAGTGGTCTCAGCAATCATAATCGTGACACGATAGATTGAAGGATTCGAAAATTTTGCATGAAAAACCTGGGTGCATAAATATACATTTCTTTTCTCATTTATAATATAGCTAGCTATTGACCTGGGGCCTGTTACACGAAGCCTGGATAGCTTTATCCATTGGATAGCAAAAATTTTTAAACTTGAAAAAAGGTTTTTATATTTTTTCTACGACAGGAAGAAATTTTGTATTCTCCGAAACAATGTTTAATTTCAGTGATTGCACAGCTCAAATCGTATATCTTTCACTAATTTTTAAACGTTAATTCGCGCTATTCGGCCTTCGTGTAACCGGCCAATGGCTTTTTTGTGGCAAGATGATGAGCAGGACTAGTTATTTCTTTGCAAAAAAATCGTCGGGAAAAGAAGTGACATGTTCAAAAGGAAAAACATGTCGTTACTTCAGATCATATCAGAAAAGGCAATCCGTTCAAATGAATCGAGAACAATTTATTCCGTGAACACGGATGAAAAAAAGTCAAAGAGAGAAGAAACTTCCAAAAGATAACAGTTGTAGCTAGTCAATCATTTAGCTTAATGTTTAGCTTAGCACGAAGTAAAACGGAAAATAAAGAAGTGATACGCCATGTCCCGACTGTTTGCAAATATGCGTGTGTGTTGCAGAAGTACACCCCACCTTGGCACCACCTGACTAGGATTTTACTCCAAGCATTTTTGAAAAAAAAAGAAATATTTTGAAAGAATTCATATTCTTTGGATGGCTGTGAGTTAAAAATAGTATGCTTCGCTACACCTGTAGGCAAATACGATTAGTAGACATGTAAAAAAAAAATTATGAAGGTTATGAATGAATGAAAGACAAGTTCTTTGAAATATCAGAGTCGTGAGAAAATATTCGCCAACATTGTTTTTCTCACTGCCCGCGACAAATATTATCAAGAAAAAAATTTGATTGGAAAAGTATCGGTTGCTGACTTGCTGTATTCTAATTGTTAAATTATAAAATTATATTTTTCAGAAACGTATAACTTTTAAAGAGCCCAGGCGCAAGGCTTCGGAACCTCATCCCCCCCCCTCCCGAAAAGGAATTTTACTAGAACTATTAAAAAATTCAATATCTCCTACAAAAACTCTACTTTAAGTCGCCAAAACAGCTCCACTCAATTAGATTGACTTTGGCTCTAGTGTAGGAATTTATCCGTCCGTATTATATGAGTGCATTGGGCAATCCGAGTGATCTGTATTTTAAACTTAAACGGTAACAAGGAATTCATAAAAGCGAGTAAATTGTGGTTGATAGTTGTCGTCTTCTACGAGGATACGTTTTATAACTAACGATGAAGGAGCTGTTTGTTGACTACAAATCAATGCAGACGCGCGACGCAGCGAAGTAGACATTCAAACTTGTTTGCCCAATTAAACTTTACGGTTTATACGAAGAAAAAGTTTAGCATGGATTATCTATAAGTTAGCATAAGAGATTATGGGTATATGAAAATTAATAAATATTGTATACAAATCACCTAGTAACCTTTAAGATTTTTATGGTCTTCTGAACTGCAAATGCCTCAAATACTTGTAAAATTGTTGCACATTTTCATTTTGTTGTATTGATATATGGAATGGGCAAAATGCAAACAATCATAAAAACACTTGTGACTTGTATTACAGTGGAATTTAAAATTATATTTAAAGTCAGTGAATACAAAATTGCGTTTTTAATATTTCTTCTCTTCTTTTTCTCTGTTTTATGTCTTTCCAATTGGCAATATAAGTGCACAATTTTCAATATAAGTGCACAGCTTTCATCTCAATAATAAATCTTATAACCAAATTAAATACCAGTTGGCATTGGATTTTTTTCATGTCAATAACCAACATCTGGTGTTGTTAATACAAGAATGATGAAGTGCATCTAGATAAGATAAGTAAAATTTTGGCAAACAACAAACGAATCAAACACATTAGCTATACTTATATGCTAGAAGCTTAAAGGCTTTTCAGAAATTATAAAGTTATTAAATTGTACTGCCTGTATCTCATTCATATCATGAACAGGCTTAAGAAGCAAAGAACTGAAGAAACACTTGGAAAATTCAAAAGGTTTTCCAGTTTTTAAAAAAGCAGGAAAGAAAGCAAATGATACATGTGCCCATTCTGTGCTACAATAGATAAATAGCTCGAAACGTCATTTACGGCAAAAACTGAAATTAGGAAGAAATATATATAGTACTACAACTTTGAAGTTTTCTTTAATGCTTCAATATAGCATTCATTAGGTATTAGTAACATTCAAACAACACTCTACAGAAATATTTTAATGAAGATATGACATGATTTAAAGAAAAAGTGAGTCATCAATCTCAGTGTAAATATCAATATCCACAAAACCACAAACTTAATGGCCATTTTACAGTTGTATGTATTGACATTTCATCAACCATCCAAGCACACGCACCACCTTGCATTGTTATCTTTCTTTCATACCTTTACTTTCAAAGCATTTAAGGCATCCTTAGTAAATCAACTGTCTCCATCCATAAAATTAGACCATGATCAAACAACTCTTGTAATAATGTTGAAATAATGTTGATATTGCATCATATTGCAGAAACACTTTGCTACCTGATCATCTCTTCATCTTTTCAGCAAATAGATCAGATCAAATTCTACTTCATTTTATGGTTACTGTTTGAAGTGGCAGTTTCTTCATGTTATCTATCCACTTAGTTAACTCTACAGGTTCTATTTTGGCCTAAAGGAAACTATTTTGCAAATAGATAGGTAAAATTATTGAATTTCATAACTAAAAACAGGAACTGAAAATCAGTATATTTGGTACGCAAGTCAATGTTTTTGAATACGGTCTTCTAGATTTTACGGCTTTTTAAGTGTATTAATTTCTTTTCAATCTTTGATGAACAAACAAAACAAGCAAATATCTTATCTGTGAAAGCAAGATGTTCATCTTTGTGCACATTACGATATTCAACGATTGAACAATTAATTTGTTGGCATTGTAATACGTACGACTGGTCCATAGTAGGACAATACCAATTCCCATAATACTGCTTATGGTCACCAGTTCGTAATTCACCACACTTTAAGCAGAATGAAGGGCGTATCCGCTCCTTGTATCGGCACGTGGGCTGATCAGCAAGTTCTTGTTCATTTATCTTCTTCCTATAACTCTTCGTGCTTTTAAAAATATGAGCTGTTGGTGGGGTGAAATTTATAGATGGAGAAGATGGAAGCAATAGGGGCATAAATTGTGTTGTTGGTGGTGTACGGGGTTGGCTACATGTTTGAGTGGGTGGTTGACTACATAATTGAGGGTGTTGCTGACTTTGTTGTTGCGATGAGCGCGTACGTACTTGACCGATTGTGTTTTCTGGAAGGCTGAACTCGTGAAGAGTTCGAATTGTTGGGACTTGTAAAAAGGTTGGTTGTAAGGGTACAACCCCCGGTAGCGGCACAGCAATTGTTTCCACGACTTCCACAGTGGGCAGACCTCGCTCCAAAACTGCCCTCTCCTGCGATCATTGTGCCTAACAAGAGTAACAATAAAGAACATGAGACTCTCATTATTATAAAGTTATATGCTTACAATTTGTCTGAAATTACACACCATTTTGTAAGAGATGCTTGGTTGATCTCTGCCAGCTGTATATTTATTTTGCTCATGACCAATTGGTTGGTTAGTACAGCATTCCTAATTCTACTGTAGGCTTGGCCAATCAGACTCCAGCGAAGAATCGTTTTGCCATTTTTCTTTACGTTGGAATGATACTTTTGGCATAGCAAAATGAAAAGGATTTCCATAGAGCGATTACAGTTTGGTCGATTTGCTGGTCCACTGTTTTGACCCAGGGAGCATCTTAAATAGACAAACGGCATTGTTGCTAAAGTAATAGAAAAAATTTGTCTTTTCTAATTTCCGTTACCTTTATGTACTATCAACACCAGAAACGATTGATAAAGATTTAGACGCATTAAACCTTCCCTGTAACAACCTTGTACGATGACGGGGAGAAAATGTCACTTAAGGTATGTCAAATCTAAAAGTTGCACATTAAGGAGAAAATGAGCGTTGTTTGACTGCGTTGTTCTACAACAGCGTCAGCCATCTTGAAACAAAAAATCAGTACGCTTACACATAGCCTCGGAATCATCACACAAGAAATAAGTTATCAACTAAAGAAGTCTTTGAAAAAAAGTGAAGTGCACCAGCTTAAAACTGTCATCCCATATATCAACGTTTTCAAACTATTATTTCACCGAACAAAAAAAAAGGCATTTCGTCACTGCTTGACTAAACCAAAAATCATCAATACCATACTCCAAGTATATTTTTCGACTTCGGTTTGTTAAAAATTGCTAAGGGCCGCCACTGTCTAGGTATTTGTCGTCGACAACTAAATGTAGTCGACCAACAACACTTTTGTGCGACTGCAGTTTCCCTTGCAAAAAAAAGGCAAACCGCTTTGTTGTCGACAACTACAATTTTACACGTTTAGTTGTCAACAACTTATTCCACAGACGATGTTTTTTTGCTTTTCAACTACGTTTAGTCGTCAAGTTGTCAACAACAAAAATCGTCTATATTTCTGCCCAGAAGCCTTCTTGTCTGCGTCATTACTTGCGATATATGAGTACAGATTTGGAGCCTTATCATACTTTTTGTACAGTATACTAAAACAGTAGTAGTACATGTAACGCTCAACTAGCAATTTCAAAACTACAACAAAGATGCCTTGTGCACTGCAAACAGCTGTAAATATCGGACATGACAGCCCAATTTTAATATAAAAAAGTTTAATAAAGAGCAAAGCTCAAAAATTGAAAAAATGAACTCATAGCTCAACAAATGGCATAGCATAAGAAAGCAGACACGACATCTAAGATAGCATCTATCAAAATAACAAATCGCTCTAGTTAGTTTGAAGCAACATCGATAAAAATAATTCATACAATCTATATTTCTTTCTTATCGAAACAAATAAAGGGAACGTAAAATCACTACTATTCTGAGTAGTATTTGAAGTAAATTTCGAGTAATAAACTCAAATTGAAAGGAAATGTAGGTTTGAAATTCAACTGGTACCAAATAATCTCACATATATGTTTAGTCAATTACCCATCTGAAGGTAGTAAATACAACCCTAAAAAGAGATAACTTTTACCCCCTGAAATTTACAGTGTATACTGAATTACAAGTCGCCAAATTGGAAATTCCGTATGTTGGCCTTGTTTTTCTCTCTCATCATCCCTATTTGCCTGTTCTGTTCTCTTCTCAGCATTTGGACATTCCGAAGACGACTTTAACAATCGCAATGGAGTTTGCAGAACCCCGGTGTGGGTAGAAATCACTCTGAAGAGCGAAAATTTTCAGCGAAAGACAAATTGTCAACGTGAAGATCGTCAATTAGCCCCAGAATTTACGCGGATTCCAACGCTATTTCGCTTTATTACATGGAAATTTTCTCCATTTAGCATTAAAAAAGTAAATATACACCAAGAAGCAAGTGCAAATGATGTTATTATTGAGTTAGCACTATTTTTGATATACATAACGCAAAAAACTCGCTATCCGAGTGAGCAACATCGGAAAGCTTTGTTGTTTGCCAATGTTTACCAAGTGTAGTGAAAGAGCATAATGGATGTAAGACATTTAAAATAGACGACAATTTTTTTTATAGCAAACATGTTTCGGCATACTTTATGCCATCTTCAGTGCGAAGTGTATAAATATAAGAAGTTTACTATATTTATTCACTTCGCACTGGAGATGGCATAAAGTATGCTGAAACATGTTTGCTATAAGAAAAATTTGTCGTCTATTTTAAAATGTCTTATACTGAAGACCTTTCACCTCGACGCTATCTAATTGGTTGAGAGCAAGACTCTCTTTGCGTTGATTGGCTAAGACGTAAAAACATAACATTGATTTCACCTTTCTCTGATCATATTTTCAAGATAAAATAATCTATTTTTCTCTTTAATGTGCAAGTTATACGATTGACATACATGCTAAAGTTGATAAGTACTACTACAGCAACATGATGGTTAAAAAATTTTTTGGTTCCTCGATGGACGCATGAAAAAATCACAATTTTCGATGTGGGCCCATGGCCTAAGTTTGTTTGTACAACTGGACATTCTCCGGGTCCTAGTTGCACTTCACGTGGTATTGTTGTGTCTCCCACATCTTCCACGTCTTTTCTAAGTCCAAGAGTGGCACACCCAAAGTATCGCGTCCCTGTTCACCGTAGAACGTTTCCAAAAGCTGAAACAACAACATGGAGATCTTTTCCGTTCCACGAGTCTTTCGTCAGCAATGAAGCGCCATTTCCTTTTTGGTGACTTATGTTATAACAAAAGGATGGTCATTTTCTAAGCCCAGCTCCATTGGCTTCGTGGAGAACTTTGTGGAGAAGTTGTTATCAATTTTTAAGATACTTATCTAATACACTAATAATTCTGATATAAACGTTATAATATAAATGTTAAGTGTTCAAACTTATCTAGGACAACTGCTTTCAGTGACTCTTTCGTTGATGGTTACAATGTTCTGGTTTCTTTAGTTCTTTCGTTGATGGTTCGTTTTCTGTTCTTTAGTTTTTTCGGGTTTATCGTTTGCTTATCTTTTATTTAGTTCTTTTAGAGTTTATCTTATTTTAATTTCACTTGTGACTTTCTCTTGATGTGGACTTCTACTGAGCACCAACATGACTAAAGCTTTCGTTTTTCTGCTTATAAGTGATCGTACAATGACGTAGGATTAACCGCTTGTGCGTAGACTGTGGTCAGTTGATTAACAACGTCCTATGTTGCCTGTGGTCAGTAGGTTGATCACGTCCTATGCGTAAGCTTTTCCTGTTATTGTGGTTATCATACACATGCATGTATGAGTAAGGCATTTTACAAAGATCACTAACCAGTTAACTAATAATATATTTAAGTATAAAATATGACAATAATAAGTATAACTTCCATGATTAAGGATTATCATGAAATGCCATATGTCTAGTTCTCCTCATGAAATGCCATATGTCTAGTCAAACACATATAGCATCCCAATATGCAAAAAAGCTCCAACACCTTTAGCACCACAGCAATAATGATCCGTGTACAAAAGGTCAGGAGGAGGTACCCCGTGTTCTTATAGCGATCAACAAGGCCTGTTGTCATTTCCATGAATTTCTGGATAGAATATCCAGCATGATAGCATTACACCACAGGATTTTCAAGGCACAAAAGGACACGGTTAATAATAACAAAAAATATCTCACCTTTTTTGTAGAGTCAATGTTAAGGACTTTACCAAAGGTTGGGGTTATCTGTGACTTAACTTCATCCAAACGGCACAAGACATCCTTGAAATACGCAGTCAAAAGCCACTTGGGTTTGGGCAAAGGTATTCTGCTAGGTGGCTCCTCCGGGTTTCGCATAGTCAGCATGCCTTGAGATTTTGCTCTGTGAATGCCTGGCAATCTGATAATGGGCACATTTCCCAAGACAAGCTTCCTCGTGTTGCCCCACCGATGTTTGTGTTTCGGCAATGTGCTTTTCCATCCCTCAATTAGATTTACTTTAATTGTGTTTAATGATGGAGTTGCACTATTTTGTGTGGGAGGTGCTGTTGTATCTAAAATCATTATCAAAGAGTAGACATTAGTTTCATACATCAAACAACTGACAACACTAAACCCCTAAAAACAAAATTATTAATTAGCAGGTCATTTGGAACATAGTTTGTTACAGTCTCATTGAGTTATTATTTTGAAATTAAATAGTTATAAGCCGTGCCTAATTAAACAATGCAAAGCTTCGAAGATCCTATAACAACAAAAACCATGATGTCAAACTTTCCAAAGATGTCTGCATGGCGCATTCTATATGAATGACACTGGACAAGAGTTCAGCATCACTCACATTAACATAGTTTCTCTTGTATGTGGTGATGGGCTGGTCACAGCTTTTGTAATCTTGGGTAAGACGAATAAAAAGTTTGCTATCTGTCAGAAATAACAGTTAGATGGACATATAAAGGTAAAAATGGCACCAAAATCAAAAACCTTGAGGTATATTAGGTTGTAAATAAAGTTGTACACTGCTGTGTAAAAACCTTCTTCTCAAGTTTGCTTCAATAGCACCTGAGCTCTTATTTATTAATGCCAAATAAGGATTTTCTATAATTTAAACATTTAACTAACATGAGCTCAGTTAAAGTTCATTTAAAAAAGGACTCATGCTCTAAACAAACCGCAAATAATGATAAAAAATAACAACAATATAGATTACTTTGAGTTGATAAGGCTTTCCTTTCTCTTTCCTCGGCTTTTAAAGCAACAGTATATTTTTCTTCATTAAAACTGATTAAATACTACCTGAAGGAATGCTTATTTTTAGACAAAGGAGCTGTTGTTGCAGTTTCGTTCCTCATGTTATCGACAAGCCATGCAGCATATCCCATAAAATTCCCCACCAAGCATTTAAATGATTTACCTTTGAAGACTCCAACCTGTACTTCAAATTGTCCGAGAAAAAACGATTCATTTGAGGTATCCCCCTAACATTTGAAGCGACGCAACTGCAGCTCATCTAACGTCTTCTTCGCCTTTGCATCGAGACGGCGATGTAACATCCATCGTTTTTTTAAACAATTTGTCTCCTGGGAATAGTGAAACTTGAATTCTCCATTCCCAAATCTTGTGAATGTAGCCCAAAATTCCTGGATTATTAAAATATGAGACAGAATGAAACACAGAAAGGATAAAACTTGTAGTAAAGTTAGTTACATAGTTGACAGGGCC